CAGAAGTGAGTAGTCTTTGTCGATAGATCTCTATTTTAGTATTTTGTCGAAAGCGCTTTTTTTCACGAATTTATATATTACGAAGTTATTCGAAGCTTTTTGATTTACATCTCGAATTATACTATAGCACATTTCTAATAGGTTTAACGAATTACATGTCATTTATTTGAATTCAAATTTATTTTAATGACTTAGTATTTACTAAAAAGATGTAATTTTAAAAAAAAAAGGTTTTTTATATGGATTTGAATGATTGTTTTGAATTCTTAGAATTTTGTGCATTTGCAATGTACATAAGTTAGTAGTGAGCGAAGCGAGCTTAACCATATAAGATTGTGTAGCAACTTTCGGGGGTTGGCGAGCGTTAGCGAGCAAGGGGCGCAGCCCACTAGTTAGATATAACTAAAAATGAATAAAATTAAGTTTTGGTTTTTGATTTTCTGTTTCATATTTTGGTCTGTGTTTTTGTTGCAACATGACGTATTCCATTACATCTGCAACATTACGCAAACTCTCTATTTCAATTTTTCGTTTAAATTTATTTTAATACTTTAAAAAAAACTAATTAAGAGACATTAAATGAACCAGTGAAAATAAGTACGGACTAGTAATATTTTTTTAGTCTCTGGTTCTTTGGACTTACTTTCTTACTTTCAACCCTGCATAAAATTATATTTAACTTCTTAAATTTTCTCAACTAAGCATGATAAATTTAATATTAAATGCAGAAATTGAAAATAGTTAGAATAATTGCATGATAATTTTTGTTTAATTGAGAGAATGTAAGTAGAATTATATTTTTCAAATAAAAATAAAAACTAATATTTACATGATTCGATTGAGGGCAAGTTCAAGAATGTATAATTTAATCCTATATAATTAAAAATACATTTTACATTTCTTCCTAAATTGGTTGGTATAAATCTTCACGAAATTTAGATATTTTCTTGAAAACGTTTATTCTTCTGTACTTATAATTCCCCCTAAAATTTTCACATTTAGTGCGTAATAGATTTTTAACGTTTGGAAGTTTTTTTCTTCCAAATATGAGTTTAGTACTGAGTAGATTTTAGAAGATAGTTTGAACTTAAAATTAAATGCAACCATCCATTTTCACTCAATGTATCTGTTTATTAATAATTCTAATTCTGATCTTAAATGAATTTCAAAAAAATCAGCGTACTGAGTGTTGAAGTGGCGCTTATTTAATTGAAAAATGGTCACAAAGATAATGCATTTTACTCACTTGCGTAATAAATATCAGAACATCCAAATCTCTCTCCATTTGGATTCAGTACGTCATCACTGAAATAAAAATTCAATTTAAAGGTAAATTCATTTCATAAAAAATAAAGAAATTTTAAAAAATGAAATGCTTATTTTAAAGAAAAATCAAACAACAATTGAAAACTTCTACCCCTTAATATTTTGTATGTGTCCGACAAATAAATAAATAATAATTATGTCTTTTTTTTCTATTTTGCACTGTCAAGAAGCTTAGTATATATGTTTAAATTATCGTACATCATTGTGCAATTTTTTTTATAATCCTAAATTCAATTTAAATCATATTGTATTTCTACTTTTTGAATAAAAAATAGGGTTCATTTTCTTAAAAAAAAGCAAGAAATGAAAAAGCAGATTAAATTTAATTTATTATTAAAGTGACAGTATATTTGAAGCAATATTACAAGTAGAAGAACGCAGCAGTAAACAAATTCGTCAATCATTGTAGTACACTATAAATAAAACTGTTAACCAACTGAACAATTTATTCTTTTTTAGACGTTTTTAGACGTATATTAGATGGATACTGAAACTTTAACAAAAAATTTCAAAGAAAGAAGGTAAAATGATTTTTTAGGTAGGGAGAGTCGGGTAGCCCCGCCCAGCGGGTACCCCCGCCCACTGTCAATTTCATATGTATAGAATATTTTTTCAAGTCAATGGGCCATCAGACATTAATTGTTATATTAAAAAAAGATTATTTTCAAAGTTTCAAGTATTTATGCAGCTGGTAACATGGTAAACAATAGTTTTGAAAATATGTTGAATACAGTAGTCATGAAATTAAGAAAAATTGGTTGAATGTTTCGATTAAACTTCATTTTAATACTAAAAAAATAATTTTTTCTATACATACAGCATTAAAGTATGTAGTCTTAAGTTTAATTTGCACAAAGAAAGAAGTTTGTATGTAAAAAATTGTTCGAGTAATTACAAATTTACAAAAAAATTGGATTTCGGGTAGCCCCGCTCACATGAATGTCGGGTATCACCGCCCAATTTTATTTCGTCGATAAATGTACGGTTGCAAAGATTATTATTTTATTGCTTCAAATTTGAATGTTATATGCATTTTTAACAACAAATATATGTTTTAATATTATATGAAACATAAATTTATATATTTAAAAATGAAAAATTAAATATTTTTAAAATGTAATTGATATATCCAAATTAAATTTAATATCAAGAAATCATAAATATTATGATAAGCTATTTGCTTACTTATTTATTTTCACTTATTTGTGAACGAATCAATCTACAGAAGCATTTGAATGCAATCAAAATACAAAGTGAATTTGTAATTTTATAAGAAGTATTTTATATTAAGTTTATAAGAAGAGATCAACCAAATAAGTTTATATTGAAAAACAACTATTGTTATTAATTATTGTTACTTAAATTAAATTATTTTCGTTAAATATTTAATATAAATATATATTAATATTATAATATATTAATATACATTAATAATGATAAAAAGTATGACATTTGTTGTTATTAAATGATAGAATTCACTAAAAGTATATAAATATGTAATAAATAAAATAATTTTGTGATAAAAATGATAAATGAGGTTTATCTATTGTCAATACATTGGTCATTCTCATTTACACCTGAAAAAATAGCCAAAAAACACAATTTTTGTAACTGGGCGGGGCTACCCGACACATTTTGAAAAGAGCTGAAAAACATGTTTTTTTATATTTCTATTTTTTTAAGTTTAACTATTCTTTTTTTGGTTTATTCTTTTCGCATTATTTAATTAGACGATAAAACAATAGAAACATACAAAAATGTTGATTATTATTTAGTATTATACAGAAATATAAGCAATACTCCTTAAGTGAGCGGGGCTACCCGACTCTCCCCTACTTCTTTTTTAGATTCTTAGGTACCATTTCGCCGGTGAAAGAGATAAGGTCAATCAATGTGGAATCAAGTAAATTCAACTGTTTTTTTTTCTTCTATTTTTTTAAATGAGTAGCGGCTATTTTTTTAAAAAAAAAAGATTAAACAAATAAATAAAATAGTTGAATACAGACAGATACAGATTGTTTTTTATTTAAATACACGCTTAACGGATTAATTACACAGGGTGAGTAGCCAAATTATTCAACAAAAAATAAGCACTTTTTAAGCACTTTTCAAGCACTCAAGAAGTATTTTTAAGCGCTTTAAAAAATATCGTAATTATGCAGGGTTGGAAAGTTTTTGACAATTGACGGTTTTATCTTGTTTTAACCGTCATGTAAAAAAAAAACCTTTTGTCATTGTTTTTGACAATTGTCAAAAATCATGAAATTTTGAATCGTGTGAAGCGAATGGCGTTTTCATACGTTACGGACTGACATTACGCCGAAATAGATTGGGGTTGAATTAACTGTGAAAACGTTGAATAGAACAATATTAACTGCGTCTTTTTGCATAATTCGATGGGAAAATCAACATAGTAATGGAAAAATCTCATTTTGAAAAAAGGGTAAATTAAGCACTATTTAAAAATATCCAATGAAAAAAAGCACCTTTAAGAGCTTTTAAAAAACGAAAATCGAAAATAAGCACTTTTTAAAAACGCTACGCACCCTGTTAAATTGTAGGGAATGTTGACAAACTCTGAATAGTAAGAGTATGTTGAAGACAAATGCTACGAATATTACAAATACATTACCATAATAATTATAAACTGAGTAATAAAATTATAGCTAGTGTAACTACATTGCATATATTACGTGCGATATTATCGTAATCATGCAGAGTTCCCTACTGAAGTTCATATTTACCCTCTTAATTTTCAAACGACTTCAGCTGTAGTTAGAAAAATGGTGTATAGGTATAGTAAAAGGTTAATGCCCTACAAGATTAATTACTGATTAATAAATTACTGAGGCACCTGGTAGTTTTCCCTGAAGAGATAGAGCAAAAAAGGAAAATGCAAAGCTGTAGAACATTTTGTTCGAAAAGACATCTTGTGGTCATAAATTCTGAGAGTAATACCGCTTAAAACGCCCATCTTTGTTCCTGATTTCTAACAGGACGAAACAGTCTTAAGGAAAAAAAAACGTAATTAAACAAGATATCTTTATTTTCGATCTTCAAACTTCTTAGAAGAACTGCGTACTGGAAATTAAAGGTGTCCTATAATAACTATTTTTTTCTGTTCTCAGATCGTTTGTAAGTGAAGGAAACCACGATTAAATCAATTTTAATTTTAAGCATTACAATAGTCACATAATACTTACTTAGGTCACAATGAAAATGCCCACGAGGCCTATTTTGGTAATAAATAAATGTCCTACGCGTTTGTATTTCCCTTTTTTGCCTAATTTTATACTCTTTTCATGATAGCAACGTAACGAAAAAATTGTTTACCAGGTGGCACTGTAATCAGTCTCTTCTTGTAGCTCATCACTAATAAAACGACCAACCTGGACAGCTATTTTGCATATTTTGTCCATCTTAATTATTAAGTTTTTAATTGTTTTATTTGTTATTCATAATTCCCTCCTTGGTTTCGAAGCGTTATAGTAAAAAAACGAAGACGAATATGGCAAAAAAGAACATATGAAATTATTCTGAAAATATTCAAGTTTTAATTTAGGCAGTTGCCGGTAGATGGCAGTAACATGTACCACTGAAACCAGTTGTAGTAAAGAAAAATGGCGTTTACAGGCGGAGGGAATTATGAATAACCCTGTTTTAAAAAAATCGATAGTAAGGTTTCGATGAAAAGGTTACATTTACTTTGAGTAGTGTGTAAGTGTTAGTAGTGTGTAAACTATAAAAAGCATGAATGTGCATAAATGTACCCACCTTCTTCCAATAACAACGAGTCCCTTGGTTTTTGGATCTATCCAACACTCGTCATTTTGGGCCCAAACACCTAAAGGATAAAACAGATATTTTATTCGAACCTACAATATTAATCCAATTTTACAAAACTAGCATTTCGAAAGAAAAAAAAATTAATATAATTTTTAGAAACCGTATATAGCTTTGTCTGTTCGATTGATGGTTAAAAACCAAATGATTTGTTGTCTGATGTATTTTCGATCAGGTACCTATAGTTCGCTCACCAGGAGTTGGCACTTGGCTCCGCCTTCATCACGTGGTATCCGAAGATACTATTTCGTTATTTTTGGGAGAAGGATGTGAATAATCCTAAACAAGGTTGGTATTTGGCGATCATATGACAAAAATATTTATTTCGCAATCTTTATGTGCATTATTTTAACATTAAATATTTCATAAATTTGATGATATTTCTATCGTTCGAGTAAATAAAAATTTGAAAAAATTTGTTGGGAAAACAGCAGTTTTTAAATTTAAAATATATTTAATTATCCAGAGTAATGAAAGATATAATAGCAGATGATAAAGCGAAGTAAGTGACTGAAAAAGAATTCACTGTTTGCGTTTGGCGCGCATTAAGGGTTGTCTCAATTTTAAGCGCGGAGATGTTTCTTCTCTTGCACCTGCGCTGAAATGAACTCTGCGTCCTAGGAGGTGGAGTCAAGTGCCAACTCTTGGTGAACGAACTAGCAATAGTTTAAATTTTAACTAATAGGAAGTAAAAGAAATTAAAAAATAAAACTTAAAAGTAGTTTTTTGTTTGTCTTGCTTTTTATTGATTTTTATTCACCTAAAATACGGACTAAAAACTAATTTTGACGTCAACATTAAAAGGCAGTAACTTTAAATTAATTGGATACCTGCATAAAAACCAAAATTACACAAAATTACGAATATTTTGCTTTAAATAATAGCATATTAAACAAGCGGTTATTATAAATTAATTTAAAATAGATTCAAAGAAAATGCAATAAATCGACAATTGCAGAAAGGGTATAAATACCCCAAAATCATACATACGTCTGAATTAAAATTAAATGTAATACTAAACGAAGTATATTTATTTCCTGATAATTTAAAAATAATTCAGTTCCTGGGAAAATAATTTGGAAATCATCTTAATAGTAATTATTATACCAAAGTGTAAGAGTAGCGTGGTGAAATAATTTCTCCACGAAATTACTTACTAAAAATATAATTTAGAAGATTTAAACTAATTTTAAATTTTAACGTTGACGAAGCATTACAAATATCCTCTCTGTAAAAATTAAAAATATGTAGAAGAAAATTCGCGTAAAATTAGAGTAAAAGCAAACTTTAAATAATAATTATAACAATGCAGTTCGAAATATAAGGATATCTTTTTAAAATTCTGCAGTTAAAAATTTTGAATCGTGTGGGACTTTTCGCAATTTTTTTTCTAACGAACCACTTCAAGATATGACTTGTGCAGAATTTAACGAAACTTCTCTTAATGAAAAAGGAAAAAACTATTACCAAAATAGGTAGTTATGTTATATTAAAATGTTTAGTTTAAATTAGGTATTTTTATTCTCTTACCGGGATACTTGGTTAGATAAAGTTCTTCGAGTTTCCTTCCTTTGTTGTCATTCCACAATGCAACTGGGAAAGCTGGATTAGGTACACAGATGACGAGTTCACCTTTTTGGCCAATAACTGCGTTACCTGAAGATGATAACAGAAAATTACACAGATAAATATTTTAATCTCACTACTAGGTTTAGAAAATAAGCAACATCAGGATAAAAAAAAAATGGTTACTTTTTTTAACAGAATAAATTAAATTCGTTTGAAAGTTCATTTCTTTTAGTTTTGTGAGTTTTTTTAAGTACTATGGTTTTTATTGAACTATCTTAAAGGAAGCAATTAATATTAAAAGAAAATAATCCTGGTTTATTGAAGAAAAAAAAGCATTTAGTATTTTTTTTATATAAATTTTTACAATTATGAATAAATAAATATTACATTACATTACATTACATTATCATATTATAAGAATTAGTTAAATTATTTTAAAAATTTCTTATACTCTTAAATGCTCTTCGCTTGCTTATCGTTTAATTATTATAACTATTTCATTATAGAAATACGCGTTCACTACAAAACAAATCAAGTATAATTAGTTTATGTATCAAAATTTAACAAAAACTTCTAGCATTTGTATTAAAATCCCTTCTGTCGAAACAATTTTTTGGGTTGCATTTAAACTAAAATATTCATTCTTATTTAAATTTATTGAGACAAATACCATGAGTATATTTTATCGTCAGAGAGATGAGAAACATTTGCATAAATTTAAAAGCATAATTAAATGTTTTCTGCCCCGCTCAAAATATACTGAGCTAGTTTGGGACCAAAGACTATAACTTTTCACTAGAAATTACTATGAGTAAAAATGTCGAAACGAATAAAATATAAACCAGAGTAATTTCTATTGCAACGGAACAAAATTCTGACCCTTACCTTCTTCGTCGAAACATTTGATGTCCACACCAAGAGCGGGAGCCTGTATTTCTGCACTGTAAGCTGGAAGGTTGAGATCGAATCCAGCAAAAACACCAACAACTTCAGTGGCTCCTAAATATGAAAACAAATAGAAATAGTTGAAATATAAATAAATAAAGGATTGGTTTAAAACTTCGCTTCCTACAGTTGGCTCCCACAAACCCCAGATCTCAATATATTTTTGTATTTGGAGAAGCCAGTTGAATGTGTCTTTTCGACTTCTAGATCCGCAACAACCCAGTCTCATAGTCATGAAAACTGCTATTCAGATGCCACAAATAATATCTTTTGAAACGTCTTATAGTGACAGTGCAAAATCGAGACTGTTTCAAAAAAGGTGGCCAAACGATATTGATGGTATGGTTGTAAAAAGAAAAGCCTTTCAGCGTATGAAAATAAGATTTCAATACTTATTTCACTGATGCTTCTGTTTAGAAGCAGAAAATTTTCAAAACACATTGAACCCCTTTTATGTGTAAAAACAATACAGTTCCCATTAATATTTTGGAAATGTAAGTGTTGCAGTGGAATGTTACTCGCTACATAGAAAAATTAATAAAACTTCCAAAATTATTTAGTAGAAATTTCTGATTAGTAGCGGGAAATCCAACAAAACACTTATCAACACCATTTACATAAACGGTATTGATTGTGTTATAAAATTTCCAATATTTTTTTGTTTCAAATATCACTGATAAGCACTGGAAGATTCTACAAAACACTTAGAGCCCCGTAAATCAATAAAAATAATAAAGTTTTCCAAATTATTTTGAAAATGCCTCTGATTAACAGCAGAAGTTTCTACGAAGCATTCTAAAGCCCATTTACAAAAAAATAATAAAACTTTAATAATTATTAAGTGTGAATATTATTGGTAACAGAAAATTTTACAAAGCACACTCAACCCCATTTATTTAAAAAATAATAAAATTATCCAAATCACTTTGAGAATGTTTCTTATTAACAATAGAAAATTCTACAAAACATTCTGAAACCCATTTATGTAAAAAATAATAAAACTTTGATATTTATTTAATAAATTTTATTAGAAACGGGAAATTCTACAATAATAAAATTTTCCAAATTATTTTGAAAATGTTTCTGATTAACAGCAGAAGTTTCTACAAAGCATTCTAAAACCCATTTACATAAAAATAATAAAACTTTAATAATTATTTAGTGTGAATATTATTAGAAGCAGAAAATTCTACAAAGCACATTTAACCCCATTTATTTAAAAAGTAATAAAATTATCCAAATTATTTTGAGAATGTTTCTTATTTGCAACAGAAAATTCTGCAAAACATTCTGAGATCCATTTACATAAAAAAAAAAAAACTTCGATATTTATTTAATAAATTTTATTAGGAACGAAAAATTCTATAAAATTTTCCAAATTATTTTGAAAATGTTTATGATTAACATCAGAAAATTCCACAAAACTTTCTAAACTCCAATTATATAAAAATAATAAAATTTCAAAAAAATATTTAGTAACTTTTATTTGAATCAGAAAATTATATAAAACAGTTTCAACCTCATTTATATAAAAAAAAATATTAAAATTTTCCAAATTATTTTGAAAATGTTTATGATTAACAGCAGAAAATTCCACAAAACTTTCTAAACTCCAATTATATAAAAATAATAAAATTTCAAAAAAATATTTAGTAACTTTTATTTGAATCAGAAAATTATATAAAGCACTTTCAACCTAATTTATATAAAAAAAAAAATATTAAAATTTTCCAAATTATTTTGAAAAAGTTTCTGTTTAATGGCAGAAAATTTAAAAAACATTTTAAACCCCATTTCTATGAAAAGATCAAATCTTAAAAAATTCTCAAGTATAAATTTTATTAGAAACGGAAAAACTCTACAAAACTCACTGAACTTGATTTATAAAAAGATAATAAAATGTCCGAAACTATTTTAGAAATGTTTCTGAGTATTCTAAAAATTACTTTGACCCTCATTTTGATTTGTTAGTTGTAAAATTGAAAAACTCATTGGTTGCGACTATTTTATTCGGTATGATAATTCAATTTCTTGGAAGAAACCAATGATAACAAAAATGGCTTCTTCTAAAAAATGGAACTATTGACAAATAACTTATTGTGCGATTAACTTATAACTTATTGTGCGATAACTTATTCGATAGATTTAGAAGCATCATTATTGGGTCATTGTTTATCAATTCTTATAATATGAGAATAATATATTTCTATCACGTAATGATTTGCTATTTCTTGCCGTCATAATTACCAATAATCATCACTTCAAGGAAAATAATTTTTCATTTCTGATTCATAAAACGCTCGCAATTCTGCATTATAAAAAAGGAACTTTTTTTCTCAAAATCCAAATTTAATTACAATTTTTAAAAAAATTCCCACGAAATATCAGAAATATTAGTATTTATTCTCTTCATTTAACTAAGGCATTGATCAAAACTTTAATCTCAAATTTATAACTTTTCAATTAACATCTATAATAGATAAGTTAAAATTACTATAATGTTTTTTCTTCGCTTCCAATAATAAAGGAAATCGAGTTGTTATTCGTTATATAACGCTCCTATCTAGATCAATTTACTAATTTAATTAATGATTTAATACCTTTTTATTTTCATTATTTGTTTAAATATTATTTATATAAATTGAGATAAATTAGTACTTTTATAATAAATTATTATTAAGTAAAACCTAACGGTTGTAAAAATAGTCATTATTGATTAAAAACTCCGTTTTATTATCACATATTACGCTTTTTGTCATGATTCATACTTAACTATGATTCATGCCATGATTCATGTTGTATTGCACTTAACTAAGATTCATGTTGTGTCATGATTCATACTTAACTCAAATAAACTATGTTAGTACTTTTCTATTCAATGGATGCAAAATTTACGGTCGCAAATATCATTGTTTTTAAAAAATTCATATAAAATTTTAATTGCTCAATTCTTTACAAAAAAAAATACTTTTAATGTAAAGGAGTTAAATATATAATAACATTTAACTGCAATTTTTGAATTATTTTTAATAATATAAATTGAATGAAAGCTGAAAATGTTTGGAACAACTTTTTGTTTCCTTTGGCAAATTTCTCGAACCAGGTGAGTCCGACACAAAAATAACAATTTTCACTGCAAATGCTGATTTTAAGTTAGTTTCGATAATGAACGACAAGTAAGAAAAAGTACTGATTACATCGAAATGTTTTAAAAAGTTTAAGACAATTTTGAGTAGGATATCCAAAAATGCATACAAGATTTGAATTTTGTGCCATTTGTACTAGAGAAAAAATATCGCAGAAATAATAATTATCTGTGACTGTTAGAATTTTTTTTAAAAAAAAAAAGCTTTCTGTTATACGCACGCAACACACTTTTTAACCGCAAAAAAACTACAAATAACTTTTTAACTACACGTTGTAATTTATATTACCTGCAATTTTAAAATACACAGTTTCGGTGGCAGTAAACTAAGTTTTCAACTACTTTTAAATATAAATCATTTCCACAGGTATCTACTGAAATGTTTTCAATAGATTACATTGACAAATTATACTGTTTTTTTTTTTTTTTTGTAGTGTAATACCTTTTTTATTACTTACTTTCGTATTTGTTTTGGAATAGTTGCGGTATCAAATTTTCTGCCACTTTTCAATAGCGAGACCTGTCAGATCTCAAAATGAGCCCGTGCTTTAAGACAATGTAAGTTTCAAATATTTCTTTTACTGCTGCAAGCAGAATGTTTATCTATATTTTATCGTCAAATTGAATTGAGAGCTAATTGCAATTCCAATCAACGAGAGCGCTATAATTTAATCTAAGAGCTCTGGGTCTGGTGGCAACACAAGTTTCAATCGAATCTTGCTAGGAACATCGCTCTATTACCACCAATGGAAAATTACCGCCATCAAACTTTTGACAATTCTCCGACTAGCTAGGATGCTCAAATTTTTATGTCAAATCTGTGCTGGGTGGAAATAAATGTTTCATCCGTTTCCTCTTCCACACAAGTCGAATTTGTATCGCCATTTTATTTCCGAATAGAATGTATCGTCAATCGAAATTTTGACTACCAATTTTTACTAATCAAATTGTTTAATTTTCTAGTGGTGTGCTTTGCTTGATACCATTACAAATCATAAGTTTTTCTTAAGCAGTGTAAGTGAACTGTATCACTAATCACAATTTTGACTTATATCCGATATAAACAAACAGACACAGAATTAAACATATGAATGAAAATTAGCTTTAAAAAAATTTAAAATATTTTTCAAGTAGACCAAAAAAGAAAAATAATTTCGTTTTTCTTAGTCCTAAAATGAACACCATAGGGTGCATCACTATTGGAATTAACTAGTTTCGCACGAAAGCTACTGTATCCTTCGAAACTCTAGATTTTTTTGATTAAGTCTAACAAAAATGAAAAATGACTAAGATCTTTTTTCGTCTACTTGAAAAAGGTAGTTTTTAATTCTTTTATTATTTAGAAACTGATATTGTAATGAAACTATTCAAAATCGTATTTAAAAAGAAAGACTAACTCGTAAATGATTCACAAACAGAGCACTGCAAATATGTAAATTACGGACTAATCGTTATGCAAATCACTGACATTTATCCATGCGAAGTGAAAGTGGTGTTAGAGTGTAACAAATAAATCGTCCGCATCCAAATGCGTTATTCACTGATACGGGGAATCGTCCGTGATATTCCGTGACTCACTCAAATGCTTCCCTCTCGAATGTCGGTCGTCACCGTCGACTGATTCCGAAACTTATTATAAATTTCAAGGTCATGAATTGTTATAAAATGTCGAATTGTAATAAAAAGCACCTTGGATAAAAATGAAATCGGGAGAAAATTGTATTTATTTTTGAAAGCGAAACTATGTCAATGGTCAATTTCGGTCAAGGTCCTCCGTATCAGCATATTTTTGGTTTTCAATAACACGAAAGAAGTTATAGAACATTACAAAGAGTTAAAAAAAATGAGAAAAGAAAACGAACGTATATAAATGTTTTTATAAAATTGAAATTAAGGTAAAAGACATTTTTTTTGGCCTCCTTTTGATAAAATGCACTAATACATATAAATTAAGCAAAAGTCACAGTATAGCCAGTATGATCTGAAGCTACATGGCTCGGATGGAGTATTTTGTTTTTTTCCTTCCTCCATATAAATTAAACTATGTCGAATCATATCTAAGTTGACCAGTTCACGCCACGGGAGCTACTAGATCCTGAAAGCTATAAGATCAAAATCATGTTAAAAATTGTCTGAGAACAATTGTCACTGATCATAGAAATAAAATCCGTTATTTGGCTATTTTTTAAAAACCTCACCAACGGCTAATGAAAAAGAAAAGTTTCAAGTTTAATGTTTTGGTGAAAGCTCAACCTATTACAGTGTGTAACAAATTTATAAGATCACGTAGCTTTTTTATTAATAAAAGCATTAGAGGATTAAATATAAATTTAAAAATAAAATATTTAAAAGTTAGAAAATATATGAAGCCTCCTGATGGCACGACGCAGATCATACACGCTTTTATTATGACGTTCTTGTGATATACTAACGCAAGTCCTAATTTCAATAAAGAATTAATCTAAATTAATTTTAATACTTATATCGATTTCTGTTATAACGAATTTTTTCTACTTACCGTACAAACAGTTGACAAATAAATCTTTCTTTACTCTATTGGTGAGGAAGTCAAAATTCTGTAATTTGACAGGACTAGCACCAATTGTCAACATTTTGAGATGTTCCATTTTACAATCGGGACCTGCATGGGAATAACGATTAAAATACAAAAATTTAGAGTCAAATACACATTTATAAATTTATAATACAGTTAAAGTATTGTTATAATGCATGTAAGAATGTATTAAAATAAACTGATACAATCTGTTGTGCAGATTCAGTACAGTGTGTTTCAGAATTGCTACCTTAATCTTAGAATCCTATTATTACCTAAAATACCATTTTGGAATCCTTGTCAAAAAGGTATACATATAAGGAGTTGTTTATTAATATTAAAGCAAAAAGAAAAAAAATACATGAACGCCATTGAAGATTAATCATTAGTGAGGAAAATTGTATGAAATCCAAATCCATTTTAAATATACTTGTATGATTATAAACTTAGTTGTTTCTTATTCCTTAAGTATAATCGTTTACCTCATGTCTGTGATCTCCTGTAATCAAACCGGTTTTGGTGTTTTCGGTCCGGCCTTTGTAATAGTAATTCTTTTGATTTGAATAGCATTTTTTTCCTAGCTTAAATATTAATTTATGACCCTTAAAGTACTTACGTTTTTGTGCTTCATTTTTTGTGAAGAATAGAAAAACTATTTATTAAAGATGGTGTTTAAGGAACTCCTTGGTATGTTGTCGAATATTTAAGATTATACTACTCTGTTAGACTTCGAGTTTCTATTACAGGGGTGGCCAACCTGTGGCTCGCGAGCCACATGCGGCTCTTTGAAGGATTATTTGTGGCTCTCAATAAACGTACCAGAGTTCCCTTTTCATTTTTGTGATATTATATTTTTAAAAATTATTATCGTTCCGTATGCCTTTCAAAATATCTTTTAAATTACTGAGAACAAATACCCATACAAGAACCCTTTCCAATATAATTATAAGACAAAAAGGAGAATTAGAATTAATAGAGATGCAAGAACATCAAGCTCTACAATTAAAATATAAGTCGATGTCGATTACTGAATTTTGTAAATTTGTACCAAAATCGAAGTCTCCTGAATTAAAAAGGGTTGCTTGTCGAATTATTTCAATATTCGGGACAACGTACTTATGTGAATCATTTTATTCTTCTTTAAAATTCGTGAAATCCAAACACCGATCAGTATTAACTAACCACTATCTCAAAGAACAACTGAGAAGTGCTGTCACCAATTATTCATTAAATTTTAAAGAATTATCTAGAGAAGTAAAATAAATGTGTTTAATACTTAAATTCAATACACATATTTTGTACTTTTACTCATATGTTTTCAATAAATATAACTTAGGTAAAAAAAAATCTGATAGTTTTTTTGCGTACCTTTTAAATACGTATTTAATTGCCGCTCGCGAAAAATTTCAAGTTTTGAAAAATGGCTCGACTATCAAGGAGCTTGGCCACCTTACCTTATCTGTTACCTTTGAAAATCCTTTTAGTTTAATTGTTTCCTGTTTTGTCACACAAATCTCCTTTTTTGTAATTTTAATTGTAATTGTTTTTTGTAATTGTAATTTTAAACAATGCATTAAACTCTCTCTAGGCCGATTATCGCTCGATTATAAAACATTAAAACTAAATATTATTAAGCTTCAAAAGACTTTTAAAAAGGTTAATTATAATTTTCTATATTACTCAATTAAATATTGAATTACAATTTTTATAATGTGAATTTTCCCTTGTGTTAGTTCTTGGTTTTCAGAAAATAATATTTTAATTTAGAAAAATCGATTTTTGCTTTTGTTTTCTATTTGCAACACATTTTTTCTGCGTCATTTGGAAGTCAGCATTAATGGACAATAAATCTACATTTCTTTTTAAAATAAAGTAGAAAACTTCAAGCCATATAACATTATATTAAGTCCCTGGAAACTATCTATGCAGCTTTCATTCGCATTTCTTTTTTTCTAATTTTGAGATATAAATTATGCTGGTCTCTTCTTCGTCTTTAAATTATTATTGATGAATTAAAAAGCTTGTACATAAATCATTTGTACATAAATTGTACATAATTGTTCAATTGTACATAAATCATTATTGTTTAATGAATAAATAATCTCGCAAAGAAATAAACACTATTACATAAAGTAAGAAAACGTTTCTTTTTGACAAATTTTGCTTCCGTTCAGAGTAGTTTTGCTTCTTCTTTCTTTGAGTGTCCGTCTTGGACAGAGTTTATTGCATTGTGAAGTGATCTGAATTAACTAAACGAAACGAAAAATCTAATCTAAAAATGTTAAACTCTTAAAGAATAGTAAAATAAAATTCACAATTTTATCAACTTAGTGAACATTCCTACTGAGTGTGGTTTGATTGTTCTCCTTTTAAATGCATCAATTTAATTCTCTATTACTAAATATATATATTATATGAATTTTTAGTGGAATGAAAAAGTGACAAAAAATATATTTAAATATGAAATATTTAAATATATTCTAAAAAATATATTTAAGTGTAAGAAAATATTTTGTATTAAAGTGAAAAGTTTTTTCTCTCGAAACTTTAGAGTTTAACAAAATTATTTATTTATAACAAAAAAGGAAGGAAAGAATATCTCCACTCTTCTCTTAAGATGAAAACCGACTAAACAGTTTCCGTTTAAGCAAAATAAAGAGACAAAAGGGAATTAAAGAAAAGAGAAATTTATAAAGAAAATGAAGAATTAATAAGCTTTATTAACTGCGCATAAGCTGCAAGTACATAGAACCCATATAATAAGACAAAAGGGAAACATATTTCTCAAAGGAGAAGAAAAATAAAAACTACCAAATATCACTTTTTAAAAATTCTTTTAAAACATTTTAAAAAAAATTATAAAGCTATAATAATTTTGTCATCATTTCACACGATTATATTCACACAGAGAGTGCTTTCAAATATTGAATTAATATAACCAAAGCGAAACATATCAATACAATAATTTTTTGAGATTTTCTGAATTAACTATTTTTGGTAGCTTTTTTAATAAATATTTTTCCTTTTATTTNGCAAGTTCATAAGAAGACGAAGAGAAAGGGAAAGAAAAAGTAATTGTGAGTAGTTTCCCTAATTCTCCAATAATTGAATGCTTGCAAGCAGCTTCACGTTTGGGTCAGCCAATCAGGTTCGACCCACACGCGTGACGTCATTTGTAAGTATCCAATTAAATCTGATCTGAAAAGTGATTTAGTGTGATAATAAACCTAAACCCTAAATCTGTAAAATAAACACACCATGTACAGCCACGTGATTAGACAAACCATGCGATTAGTTGCGAGTATAATCACAATTGCTTAAAAGAATATTTTGATATTTATTTTCATGTACCTGGAACAATGTCACTCTTCTCCATTTTGTCCACAACACTAGTTGCTAAAAATGTGTAGTTCACCTTATATCGATCAAGAAGTTCCCAGAATCCAATTTCTGGATAAAATGGGCATCCATTGTAAAGGGCGATAGTCACGCCAATCGAAAAATTGGCGACGAATAGATTCCACAAATTCCAGCCAACCTATGAAAATAATTATGAAAGGAAATTAATTACAATAAACTGGCGAAAATATTGTTGATATTAGAACGATAACTCGAGTCTGCCGTATTTTCTAAGATCTTTTCTAATAGATTCGTTCATTATATTCGAATGCAATATTTCAATTGCAATATAGTGCAATATAATTGTCAATCATGAGGCACGCTGAATAAAAAATTTCTAATCCGAAATTCCAAGATTAATGCATTTTTAAGCATAATTAAATCCAAATTATCATTAAAAACTTAAAATTAATTTTTTTAAAAATTTATTTAAATAATTGAGAATGATATATTTTTATTAAAATAAACTTATTTACTTTGTATTGCAAACAATTGGTGTCAGACGTACCATTTTTGAAAATTTCGAAAAATTATAAGAAAATAACTGTCTCGAAATTTCATGAACTTACTAAATGCTAGAAAATTACAATTAGAACATAGCTGGTACTGAATATTTAAGAAAAACATCATAACATATAAATATAAGCATATTTAGAATTATATGTTTTGTTCACTAAGTTTATTTTTCTCTTTGATTTCATTAAAGTATCTATTTACTTCAAAATCGGAACTGTCTATGCTCGATCTATGTTATTCTAAGAGATGGCAGCACCATCTCAAAAATTGAGAAAAGAATCGATATGGAATTCTTTAACGTATTCATTCCACTGTAATTATTAAAACATACTCGTGGAATTTTAAATTTTCCGAAAGTATCATTCATTGCAAAAAAAGAGGTTTTTGTGATAAATTTTTAGTTTTGATTTGGTATTATTTTTAAAACGCAATTTTAATTGAGTCCCCGGTAATTTACATCAAAACTAGTAGATATCATTTATTCATTTTGCCCAAGGTAATAGTTTTATTTTATATTTTTTGAAATTATTGAAACTGCATGACGAAATTTAATTAATAATTTTAATTATCCAATTTTAATAGTATTTTCTTAGTAAGATCAAGTGAAATTTATTTATCATAGTTAGTCGAAAATGCAGCATAGAGCGTTAAAAATTTTAACAACTAACAGTGTCGCTATCTAGGGAAAGCTGTAGCACTGAAAATTGTTGAAAATAGAATGATGTAGAAAAAAAAAAAAAAAAACGATATAACAAAAACTTGGAGAAAAAAAGAGTTTCGTAATAATGATTTCAGAATGACGGAATATTTAACATTATTTGCCCAATATAATAAAATAGACTCGGATTTATAAAGAAAGAATTTTAATGCCCATAATTTTTTTTCTCCTCCCTTCCAATTTTTTTCTAATTATATTTTATCAAATTTTGAAAATCGAATAACAAGATGTAATGAAGATACATCATTACGATTCAGACATTAGATCAGTGTTTCTTAACCTTTTTTATATAATGAACCCCTTTTAAAAAATTTTAAGAAGTCACGGACCACCTCCCTATGAAAAAAAATAATTGCAAAAAACATCAATTATTAGAAAGCATTTAATTTTAGTATTTTAATAGTAAATAAAATTTTTATAATTAAAATTTTTAATGTGAAGGTTGCTGCTGCTTTTCCTTAATTAATAAATTTAATTGGGGGATTGTTTTCGACAAAGCAACGAGTATATCATGTTCAACATTCAATCGATTTCGATGTTATATTTTTATTGTCACAAGAGTGGAAAATCCCGTTTCGCAAAGATACACTGTAGCAAACGGAATTATAGCCGTCATAGTTCGCTTTACAAGCAATGGGTAGGCTTCCAAGCGTTTTAAAAATTAGGAGTAGTCAGCGGACCCCCAAAATATAACTCATGGACCCCTTAGGGGTTCATGAACCACAGATTAAGAAACCCTGCATTAGATGAAGTCTGATACATACATCATTACTTCATCCTTACGATTATATTTTTCTAATTTAATTTTAATAATCTATTAAAGGGCATACATTTTAGTGCATACTTTCAATGATGCGTGTATTGCTGTGATAACTATTTTTTTCGTATCTGTGTTACATTATTAGATTGAAAAAAAATAATTCAGTTGTTAGTGCATTTGACTTACTGGATAAGGAGTGAAAACAACATCCCCTCGCTTGAGATTGCAATGTAGGTTAAAGTCCCGAAGAAGTGGAAGAAAACACTGCAAAAAAAACAAAGCAAACATCTCTTTGAAAAAAACAAAACAAAAAACAGTGGTTTAAGCATCTATTTTTATAAAAATAAAATCAATCAGTGATTTAAATGTAATATATATTTAATTTTAGTTGAATTAAAAGGGAATGCATGGAGATTTTTTCTAAATAGATCTGTATGAAGAAGGACATCTAGAATATATAAACATCTGTAATAGCTCTCTTGTTAAAACAAATATTTATTTACTATACTAAAAGGTTTACATACATTAAATTCAGTTTTAATATCGTATTTCTCTCTTAATTTAAGTTTTTTAAACGGTTGATACAGCTATGTGTACTGAAGATGTGGTTTAAATGGAGAAAAAATTTAACATTCAAAAAGTCGATGTTTTGTGGGGGGACCTTCCAAACTTTACTATTTAGGCTAAAAACGCTAGACTGTTTGAAAGTTTTTAAAATGCTTAACAATTTAAGAGATAAATTCGTTTCTAACTTGCGTAAAGATTGTGCAACTACTCGCCTTTTACAAAAATAAGTAAATAAATAAATAAAATAATTTTTTTTAAAAATGTCACGAGAAGATATAAAATCCAAGAAAAAAATAGTGAAAATCTGTAACAATTATTCACGCGTCGTTTCTTCTTATGTACTGTCCATTTCGTTTAAAAATGTAGCTCGCAGATTCACGAAGATATAGATGTCGTCTTTTAATGTAACTTAAATATTATTTAGAAATTTTCAAACAATCACTGAGTTTCACAAGTTTGCTCCGAATTATATTATATTAAAATTTGAATAAAAAAAGAAAGTAAAAATACAGCAGTGAAAGTTTAGTTAGGTACGGACGCACGAAGTAAGCGCATTTGCTGATATCTTAGGAAAATCCTTCTTTCCATAATTTTGCCTTCTGGTGTATCAAGCACCTTAAGGAGAAAAAAAATCAATTTTAATATCATCAATGTTGAAAAGGTGGTTTACATTTCAAAATTGTTCATCTAAAATGCTCTTTGATTGAATAATCATAAAAGCGCTGCCGCTGAGTCTTGGGTATAGTGAAAAGTAGTGGGTTTTGCGCGTGAACAAGGTGCTTCTTTTAGCTTTTTTGTGCTACAAGTGTACCTTCTTCAAGAACAAAACATTGCCAAATATCTCGAAAATGACCGATGATTTGAAAAATAAGTTAAAAACAACCGGGAAAAGATAGGTTTTGCTGCGTTTTGCTTAGAAAGCGAAAATGTTATTCTCACCATGCATCAAAGTTCACCAACACATGTTATTTTTTACGATGAAAAGTTTTAAAACAATGTTTTCCTAACAGCAGTAGACATGCTAAAAGCAATCATGACACAACTAAACTTCAACAATGTTTAGTTGAGTCATGACAAAACTAAGAAACATCCATGCAAATATTTCAACTGGATGGGGATAACACGCAGCAGTAATCGTTGTTTCAGAAATTTATCTAGGCAGTACTTCAATCTGTTAAAACTAATGACGAAATTTGCTGAGAAAAAAATCATGGTTTTTTAAACAGAATGTAGCAAACCGTACTTTTGATTTCTCTTTATCCGAAAGATTTCCCAAACCATTAGGCAAATGAGGGACATCTGGTATTTATAATAAATATGCACCCTTACTTTCTGTACTATTATATTTGGTATTAAGACACTGCGGAAGGTTCTTGTTTATAGAACTAAAACTATAGCATATCCATTTATGTACTTTCATCTGTGCTTTATTCATGCTACTTTTTGCTTTAGTCTACATAGCACAAAATATTCCCTATCATTTGTTGAATACACACTGGTATTTATAATAAATATACATTTTTATCATCTACGTTTGAAGATGGTCTCCTTGTACTACCAATGCGTCTTAATTAGTTTAATAATAACAAAATATACCCTATCATTTGTTGGATACGCACTGATATTTATGATAAATATACATTTTTATCATCTACGTTTGAAGATGGCCTCCTTGTAGCACCAATGCGTCTTAATTAGTTTAATAATAACAAAATATACCCTATCATTTGTTGGATACACACTGATATTTAAAATAAATAGGCATTTTTATCATCTACGTTTGAAGATGGTCTCCTTGTAGCACCACTGCGTCTTAATTAGTTTAATAACAACAAAATATACCCTATCACTCGTTGGATACACACTGATATTAATAATAAATATGCATTTTTATCATCTACGTTTGAATATGGTCTCCTTGTAGTACCAATGCGTCTTAATTAGTTTAAATAAATGATTTGTGACAGTGAAACTTTTTTTTCTGTGAAAAAATTACTACGCATAAATATTTAAATGACAATAAAGAGTACAAAATTTTTAAGGTCACAGAAAATTATACTGTGATGCAATGACAAAAATTTCTAAGAGACAATTTTGTTCCTAGATTTAAAGAAAATTCGTAAAGCTAGCAAATATTCTGGCGACATCGCAAAATATGTAATTACTGTTATTAAATTTGAAGTCGTGACAAATATATTTAAAAAACATTCTAAATCTGCGAATAAAAATTCCGTATCTTTCTGAAGGAAAACATTCATCAAATATTGCTTAAAAATAATGAAAAGTAACAATTATTTCTTCTTCATTAAAAAAAATATGTATAGACAAAATAGCTAAATAAAAAAAAAATTTTTTTAAAGATTTTTTTTTCTCTTTGTGATTGAATCTTCGGAAGCATTTGCACCATTATAATGTCTAAACTCACAAGGACAAGTATAAGGAAAACTTACACCGATAAAAACATTTCGTGCACATGATGAGCAGTTTCAACGATAGATGTTGAAAATCAACTTTGTATAACAGCGCTTGTGAAATAATGTAAAAATGTTTACAATGGTCGTCCCAGTCTTAAAAGTTAATCTCAGATCGATTCGGAAAGTAGGTTAGGATTACGATAACGATGTTTCAAAATTGTCGATATCAAAACGACTTAATAAAGTAAAGTATTGATTATCGTTTGATCAATAATTTACTACGACAATAAAATATTTTAGAGCTAGTCTACAATGTTTTTCTGACGGGGGGGGGGAGATAAAGAAGATTCTTATTTCAAAAATCAATTTTTACTGCTGAGAAATGCTTGTTTTTACAAATGGCAAAAAGTATAAATTTGATACTTAAATTTTAAAAAAAATAATGCAACAGCCAAAAAAAACTTATATGACTAAAATGATCGAAATTATCAGTGTGATTAAAACGACGTAATAAAGAAAAAGAAGAAAGGACTACTGTACGAACTAAAATTTATTGTGTTTATTAATTGTTTTAGTGCCAGCCTCATACAAAGTGTTTTTTTACCATAGAAGAAAAATATTTTCATTTATAAAATCAATTTTTACTGTTGAGAAATGCTTGTTTTTACAAATGGCAAAAAGTATAAATTTGAAACTTAAATTAAAAAACAATAATGAAGCTGCCAAAAAAAAAAAACTTTTATAACTAAAGTGATCGAAATTGTCAGTGTTATTAAAACGACGTAATAAAGAAAAAGAAGATTGGACTAAATGATGTAATGGACTAAATGATGTAAAACGATGTAATGAAGAAAAAAAAGTTTTAACTATCGTTTAATCTAAGGATTATTAAGTTTATTATATGCCCATATAAAATGATTTTTTTTTTAAAAAGAAAGGATTTTTTTTAAATTCTAAAACCAGTTTTTAATAATGAGAAGAAAAAAAAATTTTTTTTTCAGAATTATTATTCCACACAAAATTGTTATTCCATACTAAAACAATGTAACTATGATAAAACATTGTAATAAGATTATCAGAATAAAGTGATACGTTTAAAATATTTTTATAGAAATGTTCATTTTGAAAACAAGGTATTTGCGTAACAAAACATATCATAAAACATGTTATTTTATGCATTTAATTCTTGTCCTGTTACTTGTTTAATTTATCACACAGTTTTTCTTTAATATTTTTTTCAAAAAATTGAAAGTAATTTCTTTTTGAAAATGAAATATGCCGAAACTTAAAAGAAGTGAGTAATAAATTTTATTTCAACAAATTCAGAAATAGAACTGGCTAAAACGCAAACAAATTACAAGCTTTTCATCCAAATTTTAGATCATTTCTTAAATTTTTACTCAAAGGCGCCTGATAAATTTGTCGATATTTTTAAGCGTCAAATCAGCATTACATTTTCGAGAATTGAAATTACATTTCCAAGATTTAACTTTAACGTAACGTTAGACGTAATAATAAACATATTTAAATGTTTCAATACCGCAAATTTGAAACGATGATCGATAATTTGAAACATCATTTAAGGAAACATGGAAAGCCATAGAAATATATTTCTAGCGTCGTTCCGCTTAGGAGCTAGATTTTATTCTCAAGAAATTGGGAAAGTTTGGCAACAGATGACACTACTTCCTTTAAAATTAATGTCTAATAAACCGGGTAATAGAATAGTCGGATAAGTCAAGCATAAGACAATGTTTTGACCAGCTTATCAAACTATTCAAAAAAAAAGAAAAAAAAAAGAATTTGCATGGGCGTCTATTAATTTAGTTTCCAAGCTGCGCTATCTAGTTAATGCAGACAATTTAGCATTGAAAATGATTGTTAATATTTTTAACTCTATAGTTTTTTCCGATCCTGAACGCCATCTATAAACAAACTTAGTAACTAATTTAAAAACTGGTGAGAATAAATAACAGTTATCCTAAGTGAGAAGCAAAAAGACGTACGTTGCTATTTACTTCCTTTTTTTCAATAAATTTTAAAATCATCAACCATTTTTGAAGCAATCAGAGTTTTTTTTTCGTAAGAGAAAGAGCAGTGGAATTTAGGTAAATTTCCTTACGGGAAATTAATCTTTTATCTATATTTTTTAATTTTTCAGCCTTTTACATTTGTAAATAAATATTTATTTTCGTAGTCTCATTATTAGTTAGATTTAAAAAAAAATAATAATAAAGGTTTGTATCACTTACTCCACAACCGTGAATGAGTCCTTTTGGTTCTCCAGTTGTACCAGAAGTGAAATTAATACAGATGGGATAGTTGAAAGGCAGTTGTTCAAATACCAATTTAGGAACATTTCCGTCTTTATTTTTCCCTGATTCCAAAAAGTCTGGCAGGAATACGCTGCGTACAAAAGAAAAAACATCAACATATAACAAATAAATGTCTTAGCATGTACCTGTCAATGAACTCTCCGAAATAAATCTCTAACTTGTAACAATTTACCAATTTTTAAGAAGGACTTCATTTTTTTCCAACCATTCTGTCGATCAAGCACTTGCGAACTCTTAAATATTTGAAGAAACTATTTTCTTATTTATGTGGAAGAGTGTTCCATTGTTTATATGCTTATAAGCATTAATCTAGTTATTTTATAGAGTTCCACAAACATATACTCTTAATAATGATTATTTAAATTTATTTACATTGTTTTATGATTAGAAAAGTTTTTAAAATATACTTTTTTTTAAAGAAAAAAAAAACTCAAGTTACAAATACAACCTGAAATGAACAAAACAAAATTTCAGGAAACAAAAATTTATATAAGTATTTAAAAAAATTGCTTTAAATTTATCTTGTCATTAAGTGTGCATTTTATTGATTCTACTTTCAAACATTACACTGTTTTATTCATCTTAAATAATAAATTTTGTCAGAAATGTAATTTTTCATCTTTTGTTAAGCTGAATCAAAATTTAGAATGTAGTTCTAAAGATAACTGGGTAAGGAAAAAATATTTTAAATAGAATATCTTGTTCCACGCTTCAAGATTTTTTTAATAAAATATATTAAAAAAATTACAAACTGAGTATTTTGAAAAAAAAATCTTAAACGGGCTGAAATTCTCAGTATGATCAAATTCTTAGTGAAATAAAAAAAAAAGCTTAAAACTGAACAAACTTACCGCACAAGCAATAACTGAGATGTTAAATAAGTCTGATTCAAAATTAAAACCAAATTGTATCGAATTTTTTTTTTTTACTTGCATATAATGTCAATGTTTACTTGCATATAATGTTTTGAAAGAGAGTCAAATTTTTAAGGGGAATATTTGAAACTAAGAGAAATATGTATATATACTTACCATCTAGAATCGAGCTGTGATATGTCTTTCGATAGGGTTTCCTTTTTGCTAGGGCAAATAATAATTTTTTCCAAACTGTCTAAGTCTGTAAATAAAAAACGTTTATTATCTAAATGCTAAACTGTATAAATTTAAAAATGAAAAAATATCTTTTAAAAACAATTGGAATTTCATGTGAATCAAGATATCCAGAAATTCAGGATACTTATTTGAAGAATTAATCAAACACTCTTAACTAAAATCCTCAGACCTTCAATCAGTGTATTACGTTATCTTTTTAAGAAATGAAACTATTATGTGACTGTTAATAACTGTAGAAAAGATACCTGAATGCGGTATATTTACTAACTATACTTTCAATTCTTCAATTTTCTTCAATTTCTTTTTCAATTTAAATTTTTCGATAAAGTTTCTGTAAATAGATTTTGATGAAGTATTTTTGAGAAAAAAATTATGAATAAAATAAAATAAAAATGCTACTCAACAAAACGCTCTTTAACAAATTAACAGATCGGATGAAAATTGTTGTAATTGAATGAAATTGAATGTTGTAATTAATGAAAATTGTTATTAAGTCTGTGGGTTTGAAAAACCCTGTTTAGACTATTCACCAAGTTTTTTGAATGTGCACCCATAAATACAAAACGCACAAGAATACTTTATTCAAAAGACGAATAAGTGCATACAGTTACATTATGTAAAAAGAATAATTGATTTTGTTGAATATTTATTTCCAATGCCCACCTGGAGAAAGACCTTTCGTCATTTAGGCATCTGAAAGGCAGATTTCGTTGGTTACTCTTTCAGGGGCACCCTACTAGGAGAGTCAACGTTGCTCCCACAGTAAGGACAGATAGTACAGAGAATGAAAGGATATCCATGCCTTGTCCGGGATTCGAACCCAGAACCTCTCTGAGGTAAGGTCAGTTCCTTGACCCCTGCACTGGCCGGGTGGTTTTTATTGAATAATACATAGTGGTATAGTTAAAATTTAATATTTAAATAAAAGGTGAAGGCATTATTTTTTTAAGTTGTTGAATGAATAATTACTTTTAAAATAAATTGTTGTTAAGCGTTATTTCTTGTTTTTTTCACGGGTTTGCGTAATGATGCTTTTCATAAAATAAGGCAGTAATTTTTTAAATGTAATGAGTGAACAACAGATATTCATAAATATTGTTTGTGTATCGACAGTTACCCAATCAATGTTTGTGAATTATGTCGATAAAAAAATTTCATTTATGTCGATAAGGAAATGTCGCATAATTTCAATATAAAAAAATTCCACAATTCTGAGATCTGTTAGTTTTGTGATTTTCAAAAAGTTCATCACTTCTTTGTTTGAGCTCATGAAAATTGAATCTATGAATTTTCCTACAGTTGAATCAATGTTGCGTGGTTTGGAATTTTTTTCTTTTCGAAGGAAAATAAATTTTTTTTTAAAATATTAAAAGTATTTGTCCTCTTTTTTTATTTTTAATGTTTAAAAAGTTATCAAGTTTAGTTAGTTAGTGTTAAAAACTATTCAAAGTTATAGTTAAGTTAAAAATTGCATTTATCAATGTTAATGACTTTCATACAGTTTGAATAGTTGATCGAAATTGAGGAATTTTTAAAAGAAAAATATTTCATAATTTTTTCTTTTACAAAAATTATTCGCAATTTTTTAAACCCAGTCGATCTTTTTTATCAAGACATAAATTATAATTTAAATTTAAACTAAAGTTCTACTTAAAGTAAAAAGCTGTTGCTTTTTTTTTCAGGCGGAAGTGCCCCGAAAAACATTTTTAACTCAAATCAAACATTTTGTTTTTTTCACACGATAGGTAATAAAACAGAATTCCTTGCAATTCTCATGCAGCAGAGTCTGTTGAAATATACCCATTATAGAATAACTGGATATTAAACGTTCGTAAAATCATGATGTTACTTGTTGCTTATATAAAGAAGTAACAACACGTGAAAGTAGCATTCGTTTTTCTTTCATTTTTTCTTCTTTTTTGTTAGCCGGCAGGTCCTCTTCGACCTCTTTCCTTTCTTCAATTCGCGTGTATTGGAAAATAATGTCGACGCGGAAGCTATGGGATTTAAATTTGTTTTCCTCAAGCGGCCTCGAAGAGGAATATAATACGAGACGCTGTTTCTTCAAAAAGAGCGCCTTCTGTTTCTTTTTCCAAACGAAGATTTACGATTTCGCAAAAATAAATTTTAATGGGACGCTCATTGTGGTGTAGCTCATCACACATTTTATCTTTCTCTCTTTATTTATTATCGTTTGCTTGAAACTTTTATTTTCGTTTGCATCTTTAGCTTTATTTTTGATTTCGAGTTGAACTTATTAATTTGAATTGTTGTCTCCATGCGAGCTGTAAGCTTCACATTTAACCTTTTGCGGACGTAATAAATGCATATGTTACTGTGAATAACTGAAATTAGTGGTTGTTGACTTCAACCGGTGAATGTTGAGTATCACATGGTCGCTTTGGTAGATGTCCGAAATATATACTAGGTCTAGTTAAGTGCCACTTCCCGGTATACATTTGCCCGGTATGCCCTACATCAATGCTTTCTTAAGGTCAAGTGCCACTGCTCAGTATGCATTTAACCTGTACTCCGAACAATGATGTTTTCCCTAATCTGTCTTCAGAAGATATATTAAAATATCGAATAAATATAATGATAACTACGAATAAATTAATATCAAATTGAATATAAGAAATATTTCCCACTCTCACCAAAGTGACTATGTGACTATTGATATTCACCGGTGAAAGTCGGCATTCTCTTGATTTAGGTCATTGATGGTGATATATATATATGTATACACTATAAACAATTCCGGATCAAATGGCAGTAAGAAGTACAAGTACCGGCACTCAGGTTGCTATTACTTTTACCGTAAAGTCTATTTTTACCTTAAAAATTTACGGAACAAAAAATCTGATGAATCACAATTCTTACAGTAATATTTACTATAAAATTACTGACATTCTATAAATAAGTAAATATTACAAGTAATATAATAAGTAAATATATAAATTACGGTGTAAAATTTTACGGTAAAAATGGATTTTTCGAATTCTTCACTCAGTATGCCGTAATTCAATTCGAAATGTTTTACAGTGTAGTAGTCAGACTGGTCGGATTTAGACAAATATAATATATTTTCATTATTCTGCAAATATTGCTTCGCCATTCGGCATCTTTACGAAAATTCATTTTCTCTTATTTTATATAAAAAAGACGAATGAAATTATGAACATCTCGTACTACTTTGTTTAAATTTCTAATTTATTTGGAGTAATTGAACTGTATAGCACCGAGGGTTGGTGAACAATAAAAGGAAAATGGTATACCATTTAATGTAATTAAAATTTTATTTTATATTATAAACGTCGGTGAACAGCCGACCCAATTTTTGGGTTTGCGACTTCTAATGTTCAGCTCCGTAGCCTTGTAATTTTGAACCCAATCCTGAAGACTAGGGAGCTCCTGGATCACGTATTGGGAGAAATTTGCCTTCGCGGAGGACTTTTTGGTGGAACTAAGTCGCATTTGCGTTACACGGAGAGGAAGACCACGTGAACTTCCCTGATCGTCTACCACTGAGAATATTTTACGTCATCACTGGGGTCGGTACAAGTCGGAAGTAGATTCGTATCGATCAGCCATCCCTGGGATTTGAACGCTGCTCATCTCATTGGAAGGCGAACGCTCTATCCCCTAAGCCATCGTGGCTCATGTAATTAAAATTGGCTATAAAAACTATCAAGACACTTGGTCTGGGAAACATTTCTGAGGATGATCCGAGCACATGCCATCACAATTTTTCATCCTCTGCAGAGAGGATGAGAAAATCGCTCAATCATTTATAAACCTTGTTGGGCTTTGTGATAAAGGTAGTTGCTGACGTCAAAATCAACCTTACACTGCTATTCAAGTTCGGTTCTATCATGGCTGGAATTTTTACAAAATGGCTGCAAGAAGCTGTACGCATTTAATTTAAAAACTGGGACACACAGATTAATACTTATAAACATATGAAATGAAACAACTTACGCAAACGAGCTAATTTTGAATAATAAATTCCTCTGCGTTTTGCAAGTGTAAAAAAATAGTTTTAATTATCAGTAGAAATCATCAAGTAATCCTGTTGAAAAACGACAATCTTTGTAATGAGCTTAAATGTTGTGAAACAATATTCAATGTCATACACATCATTCCATTTGTTGTTTGCTAATTTAATGGATGAAAACACTCATCTCCCTATTTTTTCTCTCGGCAAATTACACCAGTGTGACGCATATTATTCGAATCTATTTTCTCGCATCAAGAATCGTAGTATGGCCTCGAGTTTCTGACCTCTCAGTAAGATATTTTCTAGATCAAAATGATGTAAAATGGATTTATTTTAATAAGATTATGTTCATTGATGTAAGCAAAATGAAAAATAGCACATAATTATTGCTCCCATTTTGTCACTTAAAGGTAATGACAGGTAAATCAACCGTCGTTATACTGGTATTTAAATGCACCGGAGTAAATGGAAGGTGTAGGGGAGAGTGGGGTCAATTGTAACATTTTTTACTTAACTATTTTTGACTAACAAAAAATCAAATATATTATTAGTATTAATTAGCAGACGAGTAAAGTAGACTATCCTCTACTAGAAAAAAAATAAGTAACCTATTTTAAATGTTATTATATTAGTTATTAACAATTTTGGCAGTCGTGCACTTGTTACAATTGTCCCCACTTACGGGGTCAATTGTAACAGTTCATAAATTCAACTAAAACATAGTTAATTCTATATATTATCATAGTTGGGATATATTTTTTTATTGATCAAAAGTAGTGATACTTTAGGAGTAAAAATAATAATGAGCAGAGACCTAAAGGGTTAAACTTTTAACTTTAAGGGGTTAAAAAATTTAATTCATGCTGTGAAAGGTGACAAATAAAATAATGCACATGCAACATAATATAAATGATATAGGAAACTATTGGTGGTTCTTAAAGAGTTAAGTAATGGTTTGTAAACATAAGATTATTTATTTTCAGCTGTTACATTCGTCCCTTTACTTATTGTTACAATCGTCTCCAAGATGCCATTTCAGCTTCATTTGTTAAAAACAATGCTAGTTAATTAACAAAACTAGTCTTTTTTTTAAATGTTAATTAAGATGTCCACTTACATATTCGGTTAATAATTTTTATTTGCTTAAACAAAATTACTTTGTTACAATATAATATTCTAATACCAAAAAAAGAACTTACGTAGCGTGAAAATATCTTTTGTGAAGTACATAAAAATGGTTGCCAGCAGGGGTGTACATGTAGATTTATTAAATACACCTTGTGCGCCACCTAGGAACCAAATCTAGAACTCGACACTCGAAATTTTTGCTCTGTTACAATCGTACCTGTTACAATTGACCCCACTCTCCCTTATAAAATATCTAGAATGCCATCGGAAACGTACAATACACTTCGTTAGATGTAGAAAAATATTTCTATTAATTTATATAAGAACTGATATCAACACGATGGTTATACTTTTGAAACAATTGCAGTGTAAAAAATACTTTCAGTTCAAATTAAGGTATGAAGTATTGGCACTTTGGGTACATCATCCGTAAAATCCATTTCCCCCTAAAATTCCTTTTTACCGTAATTTTTGCAAGAATTTTTATTTAATTAAAGTGATTCAGTAATTTTATGGTAATTATTACCTTTAAAATTATGATATATCAGATTTTTTGCTTCGTAAAATGTTCTGGTAAAAATAGATTTTACTGTAAAAAGTTGTGACATCCTGAGTGCTGGTACTTTTTACAATAATTTGATTAGGAATTATTTTTTTCAGTGAAGATAAGCATGAATTCTAATTATTAACATGCCATTATAGGCTCTAAATATCTACTTAAATTTTCGTTATTCCTTTTTTTGTAATAACAGTAATTTGAATAATATAAGACCCTTATATTCATTATTCTTTTAAATAACAGCATATGTTAGAATTCATAAAAAGATTTAAGAGCCTGATTATTTAACAGCTCATCATTTTTTTCTGATAAGTTAGAAAGCGTTGTTTCTATAAACTTATAAAATTTATTAACACATCAAATTAATTCAATGATAAACACCACCAAAACGTTTAATCAAGGAAGTTCTATACAATTTATTTGCTCAAGCAATTTTGTATTGTACAGTATTGTATTATAGGGCAATTGCGAGATGTAAGCTGTATTAAAATTATAATTACACAATTTGTAGACTAAGTGTTAAGAAATACTTTCTAGATGCTTATTTGTCTTTTAGATATTGTGTAGTTATTTAATAGATCATATTTTTTATACATTATTAATCATGAAATATATTAAATCTGGTAATTTTTATTCTATAAAAACAGTTATTTTCCAAGTAGCAGAGTAAGGTTGATTTCAATGTTATCAACAATCTTTATCGCAAAAGCCTAACAAGGTTCATAAATAATTAGCAAATAAAACAAGTAAACTTGATACAATGTTAAATTTAACTATGCTGCTAGGATCGCATTAAGCTTACATAAACAACCCTTTAATAACGAGATTGAATCTGACTTTAAGAAACAAGGATAGAAAAACCTTTTGAAATTGAGGATTAATCATCATTTACAAATCAAGAGTTGAAAGCGTTCCCAAACTTTCACCTTCCCAAGGTTTATTTTAGATTTTATGACCCTCACTGAAACAAGGTCTATTTGCGCAGGTTTTTATAAACTTTCTTTAACACTTTAAAAGTGTAGGATTGCTAATTATTAAGTTTTCAACGCAAGCAAAATGTTGCATTTGAGAACCACGACAAAGCTAGCATGGAAAAAAGGCAAAAACAAGCCTTTTTTTCAAGCCTTGCAAATACAAGCCCAGGCAAAAACAAGGTTTGCAATGAAAGCTAAAAAATGAGTTTTTTTCGTCAAATCTTTTTCCATACCTTCACTCAATTTTTGAAGAAATAATTTTCGCATACTAATATTTCTACTAAGTTTAAAAAAGTAATAATTAGTCCACCTTTCTGTGCCAAACGAATAAAAATGAAAATACAACGTTTACCGTAAGATTGCTTGTTTTCAGAGTTAGTTTTGTAAGAAGAAAAAAATTCTTCTCTCAAAGGGATATCTAAAAATAAATTATCTTAAAATCATTTATCAAATCTCTAAAGAGTTATTTAACTTTACAAACAATTCAAAACTTTGCAATACTTTTTCGGAAAATTACTTAATCCTCATATAATTCGTAAACACGTTTATAAAATACAATTTCAATCAATTCATAATTAATTTTTTTTTAAAAATTACTTACCTTTGCAGATGAGGGGAATGTTTTCCATCAAGTGTCTCTCTAATTTAAGATCAATGAATCTGTCTACCGTGAACAAGAATTTCGGCCTCATTGGGCGAATAATTTTAGCAGCTGCCTAAAAATTATATAAAAAAAAGTCGCTTTATAATTTGGAATAATTATTTAAACGTTGTCATTGGAAATTCCTGGATAACAATTTTTAATGAGTTTAAATCATTCCATTACTTAAAATGAAAGTTATTCGTATTAATACATCTAAGAGATACAAGATACGTGATGATTTTTACTGGTTATAATGAAGAACAAATGACATAGTCCAATAAAAATCAGCAATTCTGAAAACTATTTATTATGAATAAAATAGTTTAGTAATGATCTATTCTTAAAAAAAAAAGGTGATAAGATTTGATATCTCAGAACTTAGCTTACTTTAGACTATGTGTATCATTGCTGAAGATGCAACTTGTAAACCGCAGACGATACACAATTTTTAAAAACGACGTGGTCAATACCTGAGTTGGCCATTTTGAATAAGGCTCTAATCCAATTAATTTTGCATTGTTATTGAAAATGGAATTTGGAAAATTAACGTCTATATCGTTTTTGTATGCAGACGGGAAATTTAAAAATTACCTTAACAAAAATGATCTATCTTTTCAAAAAACTCTTTTTTAAGCATTTATTTAATTTTGAAAAAATTAAATAAATTTCTAAATATTTATTTACTTTAGAAAACTATTTACCTAAACTTATGAAAAAAAGAATTATATTTAAAAACTGATCATTTACTTCTTAAAACAATTAATTTTACGTACGATAATTAACCAGTTGTCCATATCGTACTAGAAGGCTCATTACTTTCTATTTTATATAATCCAAAGAAATTTAGGTGATATCGATACATAAAAATGTAATAATTAACGTTTTTTTTTTTTTGTTCTTCATGAAGTGTTTATAAAGTATAAAACCCATAAAAGTATTTTTTCAATAATTGCAACATAAAAAGAACTGAACAAAATATAAATGTTTAAACCTATGGCTTGATAAATAATAATAATGTTGTTTGATAAATAATAAAATATTTTAGTAAACTGTTAACTTAATTGAAATGTTAGAGAGATAAGGCGTAGGAAGATTAAAATAAAACGCAACTAAAGTAATTTACCTTATCACCATAAAAGGGCAGTGGTCCACCAAATATAGCTCCAATGCTAGCAGCAGCCAGATATGCGTATATAGCTTCTTTTCTATTCGCCATGTAACCTAAGGAATAAATAACGTAAATGATTAAAACTTGGGATTTATTAATTAATTTTTAACCACAGTCAGACATAATGTTTCAAGTTGTTTATTTCGTGGAATTAATTCAATTACTGCCCCGAGTTCTGATGCATTTTTACTCAAATATATTGACTGATAAATCAGTACAATATATTATATATCAGTGTATCATATATCTTTATTGATACATTTTTAAACAAGTAGATGATGTTATACTTGTTAAGAGGCCCTTCCTTACTCAATTGTGGTAGGGGAGGGAAAATTATAAATATGCTTTTAATCCTCCTAATTTAATTTTCACAAACAAACTGATGATGGAAATTTACTCTATTCGGTAGTGGCTTTTGATACATTTAAAATACTAGCTCTAGCTGCGTATAACGAAATTTCCGGACATGAGTTCCTACGCAATTTTAATCCTGATGATGTGCGTTAACTTCCCTTGAATTTTGTCGCAACATTTAAGCAATCCCCTGTTATATATACTGTTTTTAAACTTGTGTACATTCCGTCAAAAAATAGACTAAAATTAAAAAAGACTATAGCTTGTAGAGAGGCACTGATTTTTTTCATTTGAAATCAGCGATGCAAAAGTATCTAAGATCTGTAAAAAAAAGTTCATGTAACCGAAAAAGAAAAATTTTCCTTAGAATAATTATTTTCGCGATCGATGTAACTTACTTTTTCTAACTTAGATTTGATTTCTTAAAAAAAAAAAGTAAATGGTATTTCTGAAATTACTTAATGAAATATTTTAATAAAACTGAGCAAATCCTCAAAACTTAAAAAAAATGGAAAAAAATTGATTCTTTCACCAATTTGTCAGTCAATTCGTTAATAATAATAATAATAAACACGTTATTTACATGCAACTCTGTCTCCCATCTGCAATCCATTTTTTCTAAAAGCAGCAGCATATCTTTCCACTTCTTCGTACAATTCTGAATAAGTTATTCTCTCATCAACACCTCCTTCTTCCTCTAAAATAAAAAAAAAGAAATATGTTAATCAATTAAGATATATATATATATATATATATATATATATATATAAATGACTTTAATTCTAATCTACGATGGCACATTGCAAATACAAAGAAGTAGTGATTGAAAATTATGTAACATTAATTAATGTTTTTATTTGTTTATATTTTAATCATGCGTTTATTCTAGTCAGGATTGGAACCTATTTCTTCCAGAACTTTTGAAGAAAATGAAAAAAAAAAACTAGGACACTGCGAAAAAAAAGCAAGGTCAAAACTATCTAAATATGGTAACATTTACCTTGTTTCCGGCTTTATGGGAACCACCAAAACGCTCAATAATTTTTACCAAAGAGCTTTAATAATGATTTTGTTTAAATTAACAATGAAATAGGACTTTATAATTGAGTGATAAAATTTGGCAAATGTGGTAAAATTTGTTAATTTTATCACGATACCTTAGAGCGTGAGATAAAAACCATTTATTCCGTTAAATTTACTTTTAAGTTTTGTATTTTTACTAAATGTGTGGTAATAAGAACTCAATGTGTTTTAATAATAATTTTAAAAACCAGAATTTCCGGTAAACCGTTTTCATATAAATGAAAAAATTGAAAAACGAAAGGCTTAAATACAGTATATTTTATTTTTATTCGCTAGAATTATGCTGTTCTTCTTCTTTTTTTTTTTACCAGAAATGTTATGGCCATACAGTACTGTAATTTTCCCAGAATTTTTTACTCCGTGAAGAACATCAGTTTTATTTGTAATACTTTTTATTTCATTCGGTACAATATGATTACTAAATATGCTGTAATATCTCGAGTACATATTTACTGGAATTTCATAGGCTATTTAAGGAAAATTTTGGAAAGATTACAAACAGAAAGAGAGGCGGAAAAAGAATTCAGTACATATATGCTTGCCGCTATTCTAGAAAGTTGTATAGTTTGTCTACGGTGAGAACTCCCCTAGGCACAAAGTCTGAGGCCGTCTGCTGCTATGGAAAAAAATAGCGCATTTCAGGGAGGGTAGCTTTTTTCCCCTCTAAGGTTAACACAATAGACCGATGAAAACGATTTCCTTTCTCTCACAGATCCCAGCCAAAACCTGTCCCAAACTTGAAATAGTTATACTTCGTTACCATAGTTACCGTCACGTGTCAGGAGGAATGACTAGTGGAGTTCTTACTTCAGACAAACTATACTACAACTCTTCTTGGAATGTTTACGGGAATCAGCTGATAATTTAGCAAAAAAATAATATTTAGATTTGTTTGCTTTATTTTGCTAAGTTGTGCACGGGTCTAGCTTAATGTTATGATATATTCTTTTATTTACTGCAGAAACTAATTTAATTTATAATTTCTTGAATTATTTCCTAAAAAAAGCCAGCATTAATATTTTTTTAGTAGTTCTATCAAATAAATTGTATGCAATAAAATAATATACTCAATTTATAATATGAAGTTAGTTTACTTAAGAAATTTAATTAAATATGATACATACATACTAATAACTGAATCGATTGAACATACAAGATAACTAGATACTAGATAATAACTAGAAATAGATTTGTATTAAGGTTAGACAAATTAATTTTATTTCCAATTACTCAAACTTTACATTATTAAAAGGATATAAATATTTGACTAATTATTCGTTAAAACAAATGGTACGTACATGAAATAACATAATTGAAAATAACATACTGAACTTTTCTTTATTAGACTGCATAAATAGTTTATTAAAAAAATCAATGAAATATTATGTAAGCTAATAAGTGAACCAAATGAACATACAAAATAACTAGATAAATTTAGATAAGATTTCGACAAACAAATTTAATTTCTTAAACTGTTTCCACGTGAAGTGCCTCACAACTCTCTTAAATTGGCTTACAAAAAATTAGTATTGAATTTTTAATTAATAGAATATACAATCAGTTAATTAAAGAAAGTGAATGAAATATATAAGTGAATCTACCATGCATACGAATTAGATTAACTTAAAATTTCTCTCAAAGCTTTTTTTTTAAGAAAAAAGAAAGAAAAAAAAGGAACTTGAATATATCCTTGAACCTAACAGAAAGCTCTACAACTAAGCAGAATAATAGAGTTAACTCTTATCTTTTAATAACGTTTAAATGTGTTGCCGACGTAATCAGAAGAAAAAAAGAACTCTTGAAAACCATTTTTTGTATTCCATTTAAATACTCTTTACAAATATTTGCACGTTTGACATTTCAAAAAGACCTTGAAAATTATGCAAATGAATGCTTTTTTTTTAAATTTATGAAGTCTCTAAGGCACTTATATTCGTTATCGAATATCAAAGCAAGTCTGTAATAGATGGCCATAGTTTTTTTCTTTTTTTTAAATAGAAATAATAGTACGAGAGCTGGGGGGGGGTCTAGTGTAGAGATGGGGCTATAGTGAACATCTTGAATAACTTTTGATTTATAGGTCAAATTTCTTCAGTGAAATATCGTAGACCGGTGACACTGATATTCACTTACGAGCGCAGTTTTGCATAATCACATTGTAAATACTTCATTAGAAATTTGTAAAAGAAGGTTTTTAAGGTGTATAAGTAACTTTTAAATTTTCTCTTTGCTCTTTTATTTATATATTTTATTTTAGGAATTTCAGCAATAGGTGATAATATGCTATAAATTATGCTGTTTTCAACCTATTTTAATTATAACCTTTTCTCTGTGTAGTTTCAACTAACCAGTATTAGGCGTAAACAAACATATGTCTACGTGGGAATAGTGTAGACACTTAGTGATGGGGCTATTGTAGACACATAGTGATTGGGCTAGTGTGGACACATAGTGATGGGGCTAGTGTAGACATATAGAGGCTAGTGTAGACACATAGGGGCTAGTGTAGACACATATAGGCTTGAAAACGAACAAAAAACCTAAATATTTTATACGTAGTTAATTTTCATAAAAAAATTTGTCAATTTCGCTCAATTTTTTCTGCCATGATGAAATTTATTAAAACTAATGAATAATTAGCAAATTTTGCAAATTTTATGTGCCTGGATGATGCAGTGTAGGAGTAATTTTTTATATAGGAAAAAATATATCGCGAACGCTTTTCTTTTCAAAACTGTTTTCTTGACATTAGCGTTTTGCACCATTTTCAGAATTAACTTAAAAGGCGCTGTTTAAAGATGGGCTAAGCTTTGCCTAATAATCATAAGTTACTGCTGAAAACTCATAATAGCAACGGAAAGAAAAGATTATTTGCTAAAAAGTATTTTTGCGAAGCTGGATTCTCTGAAAAACAACTTTAATTTATATTCTAAGAGAGAAATAAAGTTTAATCTAATACTGCTATTCATGAAATTAAATTTTTTAACGGAATTAATATTTTCTAAAAAATATCGGAATATATATCGTTATAGAAAATATCAATTTTTAAATAACTGTAACAAGGAAATTCTTAAGCAATAAAATATTAAAGAGAAAGATCAAATGAAATATAAAAAATTTGCTTACATAAAAAAAGACAAGCAAATAAATAAGTTTGGAATACTTTTTAGCAATGGTTAATTTTTCGCTATAAAATAACTTTCATGTACATTAACAAAAAAAATATTTCTAACGTTTATATTTATATTTGCATAAATATATATCTTTGCGATGCATTTTTTAAAAATCAAATAGGATTGCAAAAGCTCCCCTCAGTGATCTTATAAAACTCATTATAAAATAACTTTTCGTTCAAATCTAGAAATGGAATCTCCATTATCAAACTCAGAAAAAAAAAACTTTTAAACGTTCCATTATGTTACTTGCTATTAATTTTAACCACCTGAAATATGACATGCATTCTTTAAATTGTCCGTGATGATAGTTATATAAGAATAGAAAAAATTCTAAAAACAACAAGCGTTGTGCAATAAGGTCAGGGAAAAGTCTTCAACAGAAAACTACGAGAAACATTTAGAAAGTAAAAATAAAAAAAACATCCATTAACAACTTACACGCTTTTTTCTGTTATGCAAACGGTGAATCTTAAATTTTCTTGCAGATTCGGCCTTCAGATGAATAACATGACTTACGATAGTTTTTATTAAGAATAAAAACTCGCAAAAGGCTTATATAAGCTTGCAAGGCTTACAACAGCTTATTAATTCATATCACATATAGTTATAAAACACTTAGTCTATAAATACATATGGAATTACATTTTTATTAGTTTTTAAGTTCTTACATAAGTGATTAATGCTAAAATTAATAACTCATAAATAAAGTTAGATATAGCTTCGCTGAATTATTAAAAAAACTAATATTTGATCAACTCATTTTTTTCACTTTAAACAATCTAGATTATTGAAACTGATTTGTTATTTTAAAAATGGAATTAACTGCCACGTGTGTAAAACTCAAAAAAGGTTTTTGTGTAGAAATAAAAGTTAATTTATATTATTTGGGTGTTAACTTCATTTGCTGTCGAAATGCTTTTAAAATGCATAAAAAGTTAAGCTCTGACCATTTATTTTCATGGTTCAATATTTTCTTGACTTATTGTTGCAAACCTTTGTAAACATGAGAGAGTTAATTAAAGACAAATGATCTAAGGAGTAAAATAAAAGTTACAGTACATTGTTGTAGTGATATGTTTGGTAAAACCCTTAAAAAATGTCGCTAACGCCGAATTGATGTGTTTATGCTTGTCACCAAAACCCCGAAATCGCAAAATGAATTTCAACATGAAAATGCAAAATTGCTAAAAAGCAATTACCCAGATAATACCGCCAAATCAATAGCTACAGATTGCAAAGGTTATCGCTCTCCCAAACATCGCCAAAGGTGCCAAATTCCCATTGTCACATATACTAGGATTAAGTCATATATTTTGGGAGCATTAATTTACTTGACACATCTGCGCCATTTTTTTTTCTTCCATTTAATCCCAAATCTTTTTTTTTTTTTTTCAAAACATAAAATCTATTTAAAACTTCAACACCTTTAACCCAAAAAATGATTTAACAAAAAAGAAGAAAAAAAAAGCTCCTTTGGTAAACTAAAGACCGTCACAAGTTGAGGAAGTTAATTTTAAAAATTGAATTCTGTTTAAATTAGAGGAGAAATCAATGCTATTCGCGATGTGGGTTACACTTTGTGTCAAAATTAAGTGTTCTCTTTTGTACAGTGGGCAAAATAAAGACCACCCTGAATAACTTCTTAATCTAATGGTCGGATCTTTACGTTCCAGGACTCAATTTTATTGATTCTAGGGTTGACCTCAAATAGGCTAATTAATTAGAGCAGGCGATATTTTAAGTTACAAAATTAGACACAAAAACGCACTATCTCTGAATAAACATACTCTCTTTTCGACTGATTCAGATTTTTGACTTCCAAAACATACAGGTTAGCCACAATTGGGGAAATATGGTCCTAATAGTTTAATCAGGAGAGTGGTCCAAAGTTTGGGCACCTTAATAATAATGTATATTTTGCGTATTATATCTCCAGAATTCTTTAAGCAAATTGAAATATTTTGCCCTTTTTCGCTTATTCAAAGTTAATTCCCTGCAAAAAATAACTTCTAGTAAATATTTATTATTTTTTATTATTTTCCTTAACAGTCAAAAAAATTTGAATTGTAAGGTTGTAATTTTCAGTGGCAAAATACATAATTTGAACGAAATCGGTCGAATAGTTTCCTAGAAATCAAATTTAAAGAACTCTTGCTTTTATTTTATGTACATTTTTAATCGACATTTTCTATAGCTTGCTCACCTTGGAAAATGCTCGAAGCGTAGATATATATATAAATTTAATTTATTAGGCTCGTTTAAAAAATTGTAAGGATTGTATTTTTACCTCATTTTGTAATCGGGATTAATATTTTCATCTTTTTTCTGCTGCTAAATATCACGTTTGATCTATTTATTTTATTTTTGTAATTTAAGAGCAAGATCAAAGTGAAGATCGATCAATCTGATTAAAAGTAATCCATCCAGTTATTCAATCAAAAACACACACACACCGGACATACGCAATTTTACAAGCACACAAAAAAAAGTACTAAAGAAATTTCCCTTCGTAATCTTGAAAAGCATACATTATATAACAACATTAAAGCAATTTCGGATATAATCAATTCTTGTTAGTATTTGATTGTTATATTAATATTCAATTTTATTATTTTTTATTTATTTACTTTTTTCATTTGATTTTTTATTTGATTTCTTTTAATATTTGATTTTATTAATATTCAATTTGTTAATATTTGGTTTTATTTCAAATTTTTTTTATATTTTATATTTTTTTATTTTTAATTAATTTTTAATAATATTTGATATTTTGACATTTTTAAATTTTAAGTCTATATTAGTTTTGCTATTGTTTGATACTTGATCTTTAAAACTTTACACAAAAACTCATTGAATGAAGTACTCTTTAGAACGAAACATAGAGTTTTAATCATAAAACAATATATTTTGTTTCTTATAAAAAAATTAAAACTTGAAATCATTTTGAATGTATGGCTGATGGATCAGAGCTGGTCTGTGACCAATTATGAATTTAAATTTATTTCATTCATTAATTGAAATAAAAATTTTGATTGATATTTAAGATATACTAACTATAAAATAATTATTTCTCTGGACATGGTCGCATGTCTCAGTCGCATGTCGGTTATGGCTCACTACCCAATGAAGCGACCGAGGTTTATTGATTCATGTATTGGTCCTGGATCACACGCCTCATTTGAGTTCATTTCAAAATTGTCGTTTCCTAATTGTTTTTAATACATTATTTTTCTCTATTAGTCATTATATTTACAGACTCACTGAACTAATTGAAGTTTTAAAACTCATGTTGCAATGTCAATCAGATTTATTCTGTTAGCAAACCAATCCTTTTAACTGAATTTGAATTCAAGTTCTTCTTGATATTTAAAGAGTGTTTCAATTATTATTTACAAATTGTTNAGAGAGAGATTGCGGTTGTTAATTTTGAATGAAACGGTTGTTAATTTTTTCAAAGAATGAAAAAAAAATATTGTTACGGTCTATCTTTGATTGGGGAAATTCCAGTCATAGCCGTTTTCAAACACTCGTAAAACAAAATAAACTCAATAAATCAATTAGTTTTTGTTTTATTCCGTAACTTATCCCACCTAATACTCAAGGTCGGTGCGTATACACATTTATTTCTGAGTCATGATAGGTTAATAAATGCCAAGGTACGCATGTGAAATGCTCAGGGCAGGTCCATAATTTTAACAAATGTCCTCGCTTTTTCCGATTGTTTTGTCCTTTTAGATATAAAAAAATATTTATTTTAATGAGGAATTAAATACCTATTTAGAGCATTTGCATAATTGAGTCGTTTTATTGTCAATTTATTTCTAATGACCTGTTTCTATTAAGCAGTTTCATTTCTTTTTAATCTGAATTGACGTCACTTAAGAAACTACGATTTTTAATAGCGAAATTGTCAAATCAAATTTTCTTTTTTTTATGTATAAAATGTGAGCTCAATTATTAATTTATCGATTCAATTGAATGTAATTTTTATAATTTTATTAAAATTTTTATTACATCAGAATTTTTATTAAATAGTCAGATTTAAAAGGAAAAATCTAGCCTTCAGTTTGAAATAAACTATAATTAAAATTTATTTATACAGGCATACTTGATGAAGAAAACATTGTCAAAACTACCAGAATTTGCCGGGTTTTTCACTCTATGGGAACATAAAGCTCGGTAATTTTCAACGAAGTGTTTTGTTATAATTCTGGTAAATTAATAATTAAATATGGTTTTATAATGTGTGGTAAAATTAGGTAAATGTGGTAGAATTTGATAATTTTCTCATTTTTTTGTTCCCATAAGAACAGTGTTTCCCAAACTTATGACTTTTATGTAACCTTTCTAAATTTTTCGTAAAGCTATGTACCACTAATTAAAAAATGTATGCATTTTTTACTATAAAAAAATTGCACAAAAGTTAAAAATTACAACTGCTGTTGACACCACTAATTATTAACTGTTAACTCTGCAAAGAATGGCCAATAGAAAAATACGTAATCGTAAATTTTCATAGCTGGCTTTGTTTTTAAATAAATTTTTTGAAATTTTTGTTTCTTGTAAGATATTTCGCATAAGAACGCGTACCCCAGCTAAACTGTTCCCGTACCCCAGGGGGTACGCGTACCACACTTTGGGAAGCACAGCCTTAAGACATGAGATAAAAATTTTTTGTTCTGCTTTTAATTTTTATATTTTTTACTAAATGCGAAGTAGTAAGAACTATAATTTTGAAAACCAGAATTTCCGGTTAGCCGACACGAAGTGAACGGGAAAATGACCATATAAATGTATTAAATACTATATATTTTGGTTTTATTACTCAGAATTATGTCGTTTTTATTACCTGATATGTCATTATCACATAAAACGTGACATTTATCAGATAGCTACTAAAACGATTTATCTTTGACGTTTTGGCTGAGAGAATTAAGCTAGAAGACAGCCATTTTCAATAAACATTTGTTTCGTATGTAATTTGAAGCTGCTTTAAGCAAGGTTTGCAGTACAAAAAATTCTTTATTCTATTTATTGCTAAGAGAAGATAGAAGAAAGATTTTGTTGATAATAATTCGTGGGATAAATATATTTTCATAAGGATTCTGAAATTTTAGGATTAAAACAGAGTCTGGAGAATGCCTTTACAAATAAGTTTATGCTTTTAAAAGAGAATGTTCCAGCTTGCAAAGACTTATTTTTTTGCATTTTATTCTCAGGAATTAGTGTTTAAAGTACTCACCAATACAAATCATTGCGATGTCCCCATTTCTGTGTCTCAGCATGTTTTCGGCGAAATTCAGACGAGCTCCACTAAACCAGTCCACATCAACGAATCCCTTTCCATTCTTCACGAGCTAAAAAACCATCAATTAATCGAATTATTAAAAATATGATGGACTTTGCTTACATATGTATAACATATGTTGTTTTATTTTGTTTTTATAACCGTCGTAGAACAGCCAACCCATTTGTTTGGACTTACTACTAATGTTCAACTAAGTAGCCTTGTAATTTTGAATCCAGTCCAGAAGACAAGGGAACTGCTGGATGGGAGAAATTTACCGTCGTGTAGGACTTTTTGATGGAACTAACCCGCATTTGCGTTACATGGAGAGGAAAATTAGACGTTACATGGCTAGGACCCATGATCCGTCTACCACTGAGCAAGCTGGTCCGTGCAAGCCGGATGCGAAATTCGTATCGACCAGCCATTGCTGGGATTCGAACCCCATTCACTTCACAGAAAAGCGAACGCTGTATCCCTTGAGCCAACGTGGCTCAACATATGTCACTGTAAAAACCCATAATTAGTAAATGTCTACAGTGTCCGATACATCGTGAAATTTTTTTTAAATATAATTATTTCTGGCTTACACCGGCAAATTTCATAATGGTGGTAAATGTTGAAATAAAAAAAAATACAATCATCATTCTTTTTTACTTATACTCTTTATGACATCAGTGCACGCTAAACGCTGGTATTTACTGATATAATTAAGAAATAACAATGTATGTGAAAACCTGTTATTTATTTTTCTCATCAGTGCATGCTGAACCTCGTGGTGTAAGTAAGAAATAATACCAATCTACAGTGCACGCAAAAAAAAATGGACCACCCTGAATAACTTTTGATCTAATGATCAGATCTTCACGTTCTAGGACTCAATCTTAATGTCTCGAGGGACCTCAAATATGTTAATTAATGAGTGCAGGTGATATTTAAAATTACGAAATCAGACACAAAAACGTACTTTCTCTGAATACTTCTGACTCCCAAAATATAAGGGTTGCCGCAATCTGGAAAATATATTCCCAATAGTTTGGTCAGGAGAGCGGTCCGAAGTTCTTAATGTTAATTTTACTTTTTGGGTATTTGATACATGTCGAAAACTTTTTATTGTTATTGTTATTCTTTTTATATTATTTTATTGTTATTACTTATTCATTTGATGTCCTTTTTCAAAAAAAAAAATTTCCAAAATATATCGAGAGAAATTAATTAACTTTAGCTTCCTTAACGCCTTGATAAAATTCATTATTATTGATTGAAACATATATTTAAACAGAACAAACCTTTAAGATTCTATACAGCACGTTTATAATTAACTATGCTACAAAATTACTCGTAACTTTTGATAAAAACCCTGTAGTAGTATTTTTTTAAATTTTCATCTTAATTTTCATTTTTACTAAATAAAATTTCTAGCATTTCAGAGTGTCATTATCCGGTTTTCATGAAATTCTGTTACATAGTTTTTGATACAAACTGCTTACAAATGCCAACTCCAATAGTAAAAAAAAATAATAATAAATGTTATTACATGCCCTTATTGCTAATATTTTAAATATAATGCAATGCAATGCTTACATTGGGTTTCACTTGTTTCTTAATATTGGTTTTCACTTGTTCCTTAATATTGTTTCTCTACTTAAAGAACATAATATAATGTTCATGTAACGAGATAAAATACTATTGAACCTATAAGTTCAATATAGTTTTGAATTGTAGTTTTTTTTCCGTGAGACCGGAATATCCTTTTAAAAAAGTAAATAAAATAATAAAAAATTAGGGAAAAAAGAAAAAAAAATATTGATAGGAACTTCACGAGCCATATTTGAAAAATTGTAGCACTCTGCCGCAATTTGTATGTTCGCATGCCGCATGTTCCTAGTATTAGTAAGAGTACAGATACATGTTATACTTAACTCTAGTTATCGGTATATAAGTTGTTCAGTATTTTTTAAGATATTTCTTAAAGTAATTAATGGTTTAAAATCAATGAAAATATATAAGTATAGCTTAATAATAAAAATAAAAATGATTTTTATCATAGTTGTAATGAACAAAAAAAAATTTATTTTAAATCTTTAAGAAATATTGAATAAGTAGTATATGAAAGAGAGGAAAAACATAAAAAGTTACTTCAGTGGATAGGTATGTATAGCAAAGCAGGATGCACCTATAAAAAGACATATAGCATTCAACATGAAGCAAAGCAGGCTATAACTTACAGTACCTTGTCTAATCTATAGTCAGAACGTAGAAGACCCATCAGTGCAGAGCACATGACCTTAACCATCATGCCCTTAGTTTGAGCTGCAGATCTATATATCTGGAAGCAAACAGAAGGCGTTGTTTTGCTCGCATTAGCAGAGTTAATAATAAGATAGGCAGAATATCCTTACTTATTTATTTATTTTGTCCTTATTTTGATGCTTTACTTTGTTTTAGTATAAAATTAAATAAATACTAATAAAATAATTAGTTTTTAAATGCAAATTTCACAATCATAACTGTAACAAAAAATTAAAAACTTAGATTGAGTTTTATAGTACAGAGGTTTCTTACTAATAGCTACTCTTTTGCAAAATTTAAATCGCTCACCGTTGTTTTTTTTTAATGATTACTAGAGCTTATAACTAAAACGTTTGTGATTAGTAATTTATTATTTATTGACCTTCATGTTCCAATATCATTTATTATTTTTTATAGTTATTGTTATTCATGATGATTTATTTGTAATTCAAATTATTTATATTAGCTTATGCGATTACTTATCAATTGTTATGATTATGAGAAATGACTAAATGAGTTAAAATTATGTACTTTAATAATCCTTTATAAACTGTAATTGATAATATATAAAAATTTATATTTTGATTTACCATTAGTGAAATCATTAAATAATATTTGATAAGTTATATGATAATGTATATAATTTTTATTAATGAAATTTCTATTAATTTATTAAATAATTTCTAGTTTATAATTAATGTTTTTTAAATATAAATTGAATTTTATTAATTATTTTTAAACTGAATTATTTGTTTGAAATGTTTTTTAATAGAAAATTATTGATACAAAATTTATAATTCAAGTTTCAAAGAGCAGAATTTTTAAATTTATATCATATTCATTCATTAATTTATTAAGTTTTGTAGCAAAACATCTTTTTTAAATATTTTAATGATAATGTTAGTTTACAAAAATTTAAACTGACATGCAGCAACAATCATGCAAAGGGTATAAATATTTATGATAGCATAACAGAATAAGCATAATTTAACTAAAAAGCTACTAGAAAGCAAAAATGGAAAAAGAATAAATCATGCAGAAGGACATCATGCGCAGTGTAAACAAAATGCAAGAAAAAAGTATTTATAAAGGAAAAAAAACGTAAAAACATACCATCGAATTCATTTGAGAACTTACCCTTCTACAATAAGTCTTTCAAAAACGACGTAACTGACTTTTATGCAATTTGGCATGGTTGTTTCAAATATATGCACTCATTGCATTTCAATAAATTACACTTTTTTAAAAATATGCATTTTATTTATATGAATACACATGAATATGTAAATGGCAAATTTAAAAAAAACTTTAAAAAATGTCAAAAATTGACCCCTTTTGATGCATCTTTTTGGTTACAAGTCAATTACACGTCCCATCGTAATCATACTTTCGCAATTGGAAGAAGTGTAATTAATTATTTCGTCCAATTACACGTAGAATCGAAACAAGATGTCATCTTAATAACTTACGATCAGAAAACATTATTCTGAGTAAACATGAATAATTTTTATTTGTTATCAAAAATCATCATTACATGTAATCAGGAATTTTTATTACTCGCAACTACACTGAAAAAAATATGGTTAAAACTATCGGAATATGTTAAAATAACAGTGTTTCTGACTCTATGGAGACACCAAAAATCTCGATATTTTTTACTTAAACGCTTTAGTAATGATAATAGTAAAATTAACAATAAAATATGATTTTATAATGTGTGATAAAATTTGGTAACTGTGGTGAAATTTGGAAATTTTATCATGATATCTACGAGCCTGACATTAAAACAATTTATTCGGTTTAATTTACTTTTCAGTTTTGTATTTTTTTAACCTGCGTGGTAATAAGAACTATACCGATGCCATAGTAACGGGAAAAAATACTAAATAAAAGCTTTGAATGCCGTATATTTTGTTTTTATTATACTAAATTATTTTTTTTCCCAAACATTTCTATACAGTGCAATAATTTCACCAGAATTTTTCGCCCTGTAGAAATCATTTCTTATAATCGGAAATCATTGTAGCATACAAAAATAAATGCTGACTATTACTTGTAATTACAAATCATTATTGCTTGTAATCATAAATCTTCGCTACTAGTAATCGTACTTCAATATTAACCATATTTACGATTAAACTTGCAATTATAAATAATGATCGTTTATAATACTGGGAGATCAACTGCCCAAGCATGCGCACAAGTCAGTCTTTTTAGTTCTGTTAAGAGTCTACAGTTTTTTGCTGCTCTTCTACGTTTTTTAGTAATTTCAACATGTATTTTAGACATTGAAATGTGACTATGTATTAGTATTCTTGAAAATTAATTCATGGTTGGTCTAGACATTTACACATTTAATGTAACCGTTTTCGACATAGATCTAAGCTGTTACATTAAATGTATTTTAAAGAAATAGCTGCAATTGAAATAATTTTAACAGATATAATATCAATTAAAAGCGTTTAAACTAAATACAAATATAAATAATAAATTCGTAGCAGGAAAATAATAACAAACATTTAGAACTTAAAAAAATGATATTGTTAACTCTGCAATAAATTTTGGTGTATAGTTGCTACCATATTTGGTGTTGAGATAAACAAACATTTTTTGCAGTGCGTGTACTTATGTTTTTTATTTGCTGGCATTCGTATAAATTTAAAGCTTCATTAGAAAAACATTTCGTTTTTAGTAATACAAGTGCATTTTTAGTAATACATTTGAAACTAATTTTTTCAAGTATTTGTTATTTTGTCAATTTTATATAAGTTTTTACGCGATAACTGCAGTTCTGTATTTAAAAACGTCCTTGGTTTACCTCAACGCCATAATTGGTTGCAACCATACACCAAAATTTTTTACGATGCATTTATACGCCACGTTTTTGAAGGTGACCGAGTATCATTAAACTTTATAAGATTATATAATTCTTAAACCTGAAAATTTAAATAAAAAAAACGGAACAATAAATGCTGCAGTTTTTAAATTTTCTCAAGTCCTAAATACTTTTTTTTATAATTTGAGAACATCAGCTGAATACTAAACATATGATGTCTTTTTCTACACGTGAAAGGTTTTTTTTTCTCCTTCTTTTTGGCGAGTTAAGTTCTCAAAACAACCTCTAGATAAAATAACTCAGAGAAGTGTTTGGATTACAAATCGACAAAAAAAAAACTTGAAACTGGTAACCAACTCATATCACAAAATTCTAATGAATCTTAATGAGTTTAAATCATAAAACGAATCTATAAAGTTTTAGTTATGATGTGTTTATTACGAGTAATACTACAGCTTGTTATATAAAATAGTTTAAATGTGAGCTTGTTTTATTCAATTTAAATAATTTAACTATGCAGTCCTTATAAATTTAAAATTATTCGTTCTCATGAATAATTTAATATTCATATTTAATCAGTACTATATCTTAATTGGAAATTCAAGGATATTTTTAAAAAGATAAAGAAAGAAGAAAAAACAACTTTCTCCTAATTTTCAATTAATGTGCAATAGGAGTTCAGACTATGAAATGCGTGTGTAATTATTTTAATCGGTCTAATCTTTATATTCATTAAGGATAATCTTTACATTCATCAGTGGCTTTTTTATGTGAGATATAGTTAAGATTGTCTGTAAGTAATTCTTGCGCAATTTTTTTTAATAGTGATAAGCAATAACGAAGCAGACAATTTTTTAAACAATTCATAAAATTTTTAAACTATTCATAAAAGAAAAAAATTCTGGTTAAATAATTGTACTGATTGATAATGACATTTATGGTAAAAAAAAAGTAAAAATAAAAACAAAACAAATTATAATACTGGTTAACTAAACCAAAAAACTACAGTTTTCAAACCATTTGGTAATTTTTCCGTTTATATGATAACGGATTACCAGAAATTCTGGTTTTCAAAATTGTAGTTCTTATTACCACACATTAAGTAAAAAATACAAAACTTAAAAGAAACTTAACCGAATAAAAGGATTTAATGCCATACTCTAAGGTATCGTTATAAAAGTGCCAAATTTCACCACATCTTTAAAATTGTTAACACACATTATAAAATAATATGTTTATTTCATCAAAATCATTACCAAAGTGCATAAGTAAAAGTTACCGAGCTTCCTAGTACTCCAATAGAGCCAGAAACACGATAAGTTTGGCCATATTGAAGTAGCTTTCACCATACTTTTTTCCTCAGTACGAAATAAGATAGAGATAGTAAATTTTACTTTTTATCTCATTAGTTTTGCATTTTAATTGCACTGCTGAAAATGTTTAAAATTATTTGTAAATAATTGAGCCAACCCATTTGAATAAGAATTTAAACATACCGTAAATTAAACACATTGTGATATGCATTGAATTTTATTCCGGTTCAAATGATTTCCTCTCATTTGAATAATTCTTCCATCTTGACAAATTGTTTCCTTGTTTTAGCCTTGCTGGAATCGGTGTCGTAAGTAATGGTTCAATATCAAACTGATTAAGTGAACGTCAATGAATGTTGTTGAAATAATAATTATACCTTGATCCGGTGAAAAATGCTATCTAGTTTAGACATTCCCCAGTTTTTTAATGCTATTGTTTCAATTTACACTCAAAGTAAGTTCAAGCCTTCTTTCTTAACCAGTAGAAATTGATAAAATAAAAATCGCAAGTTCACCATGAATTTTTAATGGCTTTCATTTATGTTTAAATAACTGATATCAGTTTTGAATTATTAATAAATTATTCGAAACAGTGTAGGATTTAGAGAATGCCGCCATTTAAATCATTTTTAAAAATAATATCTACATTCTAAAGAAAACTATATATGTACTGACCTGTTAATAAACGTGAGAATTCAAAATTAGGCTGGTAGCTATTTTTAAAATTGTCGTTATTCTTTTTAATATTTCAATATAAATTTAAATATTTCAAAGACAACATCCTAGAAATGTTTCATATCTAACCAAAATATATTTCTAAAATAACAGCATGAAATCATTTTTGTGAATTTAATAGGAACTACGAGGCGTGTTTGAAATATTAAAAATATTTATAGGTATATTTTGTTCCGCGTGAGTTATGTAACGATATCTTGTGAGCAATATTTTGTTCCGAGTGAATTATGTAACGATATCTTGTGAGCAATATTTTGTTCGAGTGAGTTATGTAACGATATCTTGTGAGCAATATTTTGTTCCGAGTGAGTTATGCAACGATATCTTGTGAGCAATATTGTTCAATATTTTTCCTCACATCAACAGCAGAAAAATGACGTACAATAATCGTGGATAGAGTGAAAATCAATAAGACTTACCTCCGTGTACGGCTTTGAAGAGATGACACCGTAGAATAGCCAAATCTCTTCCCAGAATCGATCATAATGCTTTACAGACCATTTGTGAAGATCCCAATAATTTCCTAAAAAAATTAGTCCAATGGAGTTTCTAGTATTTTATTTTAAAAAATTAAATTAGCACTATTTTTTGAAACGTAACTCTTTTTACAGGCATTACTGCATTTTTTTTATGTGACCAGTAAGTACGGAGCAACGAACTGATGCGTATAATCGATTAGAGTTCGGCTTATTGAGAGCACGAAATGAGTTCTGACCAAACGAACTGTCGGGTGAGATCAATTAGAGTACGGCTTATTGAAAACAAGAAGTTATACGTTCTAACCAACAAACTGGTGAGTAAAATCTATTAGAGTACGGCTTATTAAGAACATGAAGTTATTCTGACCAACTAACTGATGTGAGGCCGGGATAGCCTGGTCGGCAGGGCGCTGGGCCCATGTCCGAGAGTTCGTGGGTTTGAACCCCGCCGGCCAAAGACTCCCCGTGTAGTAAAGTGACTGATGTACGTTAAATCTGTCGAGTCGCAAAAGTCCTCCATGTTCCCATAACAAATCAATCAATACCTCTTTATCAAAAATTCTGGGGGTACTGGATTGGAGATCGATCGTTCTCTGAATCAGATCAAAATTACGATCTATGGATGATTGAATGGATGTAGGAGTGGGTCCGTCCTATAAACGGGTGTGACGTACGGTGCGGCAGAAGTCGGATTCTTGTACATAGATGGCGCCACTGGAAAAACAAGAGCAATCGCACCCCCTCTCGCATACGTCAACAACAACAACTAACTGATGTGTAATATAGTTTTTATATAAACCAATTAGATAACTTCTTAACCATTTATCAATTATTAGCCTCCCTTTTGGCATTTCTGGAACTTTTTTGAATTTAAATGTGTGAAAGTGACGTAATTAGTGCAAAAATGCAATGGATTTTCGCATCATTAAGTTCACATCAGTTACAATTTTACAATTTAAATGAACATTAGTCGAGAGTAGATTAAAGCGCCATTGATTTTCCCTATGAATTTTGGATCACTTCTATGCTTTAGAGCATGACATATAATCTTTCTAGTTCCGAAGTATGATCTTTTACGGGATATTTGGTAATGATCACCCTTATTATATATTCTTTGAATCCTTGCCAAACATGAAAAAGAATGCAGATGAGGGGTCCCAAATTTAGATTCAACATAAGAATAAATAAAAACATCATCGAGATCTAACAAATAACTACTGATATAAAAGAGACTCAAAACATAAAAGCGTGTTTAATTGCAAGTAAAAACAAAGAGGAATTGGAAGGAGGTTATTAGAAAATATTCCCAGGCTTCATTGGACAAAAAAAAAAGGTTTCGATGTTTTCAGTCCTCGGTAGGATTTCGTTTGATTCATTTATTGTTTATGTTATTACGGAGTGAGCGTTACGTAATGCCTTGCATAATAATGAAGCTTATACAATGCAGTCCATACGTTTTGCGAAGTTTATAAGCAAATAAAGCAAAGTGTGATTGAATTGTTTCTGATTTATCGCTGAACTTTCAAGCTAGAACTGAAAAAGCTTGATCTGAGCTTTGCTTGATTATCACACTTATAAAACTTCTAAAATAATTTTAATCGTCTTGTGAATTTAAATAATTGAACAAGCGTACTACAAATAAGGCAACTTCAGAATATTTAAACGTGATAAGAACAATATTTTTGTTTAAATTCCAATGAGCATAGTAAATTAAAAATTAGCTAATCACTTGAAATTATCAGAACATCGTAAAAATGATTTGAATTTTGAAGAAAAAAAAAGAATTAATAATAAAATAAACAAAATATAATAATAATAAATAATAAATAATTAAAAACGTTAATGAATAAACGCTTAGGAGGAAGTTTAATTTTAACTTAAAATAACTTTCATATAAACAAAAAATAATACTGATGTTCGATGAAATAAAAAATTATGTATTTGTATTTGATATTAAGATAATACGAAAAAGGAATCTATTGATTATTTTATTCGAAAGAACCCAAGCGAAAAAAGAAATATGTAGTAGACAATTACTTCTAATTTTTTATCAATTTAATACTTAGCATTAAAATTGAGAAAAAAGTAGTATTTATTAAGAGCAAAATAATCACACTTACGGCTACAGAATTTATCTCAGTGAAACTTTATCCTTAATTAAGTTTTAAAAACGAATAATGTGTTAAATGAAATGAAATAAAATAACTGATGAAGTAAAATGATCATGTTCAAAGTTGAGCATGAAAAGTAATGCTTTATTTAACAAACTTATATTGGGAAAAAAAACTAGAACTTATGTACTGTAATAACAATTCCTTAGTGATTATTCTAATTGCGCACATAAAAGACTAACTATTAGTGTAACTACAAGAAAAAAAGCTATATACTTACTGAGATTGAGTTTATATTTCTTATTGACAATGGATTTAAATCGTTCGATTTCAGTGTGTTCTACTTTTTTGTTCCATACACATTTGGTATTTTCAGCAATTATATCAACCAATCCTTTCCTTTTTCGAGGCTCTGAAAAGAGACAAAACAAAGTTGTCATTATTTTTTTAAAAATATAATTAAATAACTGTTGTCTCTAGATGTTGAGACAATGTTTCCTTAAATACAAGTTTTTAGAATTTAATGAAGTTGTAAAGAACTAAAATAAGTTTCCTTGTGAAATATTGAAACGAATTAGCAAAATGTGGAACTAACATCAAAATAATGCGCAAACAAATGCCGTCAAAATAGCAATATATTAGAAATTCGACAGAGTAACGACATACTAGAATGTCATCGAATAATGACATACTAGAATATCGAAAGAATAACGAAAGCCAGAATGTCGAAAGAATAACGATAAGCTTGATTATCGACAAAATAACGATTTGCTAGAATAACAGCATATTAGAATAATTTCGACAGTTTGTGATTATGATTTTTAGGAAAAGGGTCATTATTTGAAAATTTTAATACTTTGTTCATATTTACCTAAAACAATTTTTTTTAATTTCGACTTTTTTATTTGTTTTTTCAATTTTATCAAATTAATATTTTTTTATATTTGTTTGTTCTTTTCAATTTTATCTTTTTACAATTTTTTTCATTATTTAGACTTTCAAAACTACACTCATAGCAGCAATTTTCTTATTTTGGTGAGGAATTCGTAAAATTATGGAATTTTAAAATTTGCTTCAATTCCCTTCACTTATTTTTAGACAACAATGAAGTTTTTTCGAATAATTTACTAGAACTAAAAAAACTAACTAAATAAAAAATAAATATATCTCCAAAAATAAGATTTTCAAAAACAACATGATAAAAGTAACTGAGTTTTATAAAAGGAAGAATTTATGTTTGCTATATGTGTCGATTTAAAAAAACGTCAATTCCTAAATGAAATTTTCAAATCACTATATACAAGAAATAAATACTCAATTGGTTCAAACTTACGTCATTTAACTTATTTAAGTAACTAAAATAACTCATTTAATTAAATTATTTTTTCCTTAAGTTAAAAATTTTAAAATTATTGACTTACATAACTATAGTTATGAAAGATTCATAAAAAAATAAATAAATGCAATTTAATTTAATAATAATAATTTTAATAATTAACATTTGAACGTAGGTTTTATTGGAATTATAAAATTTTTTACTTTACCTTTGTTAATAATAATAATTCAATTTAGATGGGGTATAAAAGATAGTAGCAATAATTTCAATACGAAAGCAGATATTAAAAAATAATGTTAATTATTGAAGAAATTAGTATTTTTTGATTAATCATAAATAGAAATGCAATTATACAAAACAATTTGTAAGAACTATATTGAATTATGTATTTATTTTACATAACTAAATCAATAATTTTACTTGACGTTACTTTAAATAATAAATTATTACCTAGTTTTATCACTAGATAAAACTCATGATATATTTTTAATCTATTTGACGTCCGCCATTTTTAGTTGGTGTTTCAGCAATATTTCATCGTCATTTAAGCATATTATAGATATGTATCTGGGAAGAAAGTTCGTACATTTGCTGAATATTAACGAAAGTAAATACTTTCTTCTTAAAAAAAATGTATTTATCTTTCTTTATTTCGTTAAAATTAGTGAACCGTTTCTGATAAGTAAGAAAAATGTAACTTACAAAATCATTTTATCACAAAAACCATGTTCTACATTTCAATATCTCTAATTAGTTTTTTTTTTTTTTTTTTTTTTTTTTAAAAAAAAAAAGGATATATTTAAGCAGTCAGATTAATAGATTACAAAAACTTTTCAGTAATATTACAAATCGTTCATGTTTCTTTCATGTTTTTGAAATCGCTTGTGTTGTGAATAAATATATGGTCGTGATTTTTTTAACTGTTCCGGGAAGTGTTGGGCTTTATTTGGGGCTGTTGTTGGACTTTTATTTATTATTTTTAAATAATTGTAAAATGAAATAAAATTTTCATATATTCGGAATATCTTCGAGCAATTAAATTTTTCCTAACCAAAATAGTATTTTTATAAAAAAGAATATCAGTCTTAAAAGTAATATTTTTTAATGATTACAAATTTTTTCGCACACTTCTTTACTATTCACGCGACGAAAAATAATTCTGATAAAATTAACTTGCTGTTTTGTGATAACATTTTATGTTAAAAAAATAAAATAATTTTGTTCAGTAAAACAGAAATTATACGCTATTTGAAACATTCAGCTAGCAATTTTTCCGTTCATGTATGATAACTGTACACCGAAATTTCTGGTTTTCAAAATTATAGTTTTTATTACCACACAGTTGGTAAAAATTACATAACTGTAAAGCAAACCAATTTTAAATTTTATCACATTTCGGAATTTTTTTCACATGTTTTATTGTTAATTTTACCTTAATCATTACTCACGCAGTTCGGTAAAAATTACTGAGCTTTTTAATGCTCCCATAAAACCAAAAATACGGCTATTTTTACCGTATTCCGGCAGTAATGACCGCACTTTTTTTTTCTCGGAGCGTATAAATATTGTGCAGTCAAAACGTTATGCAGTATTGCAGCATTCTTAAAAATTAGTATTACAGGAAATGAACTTTCTGCTAACTTTCACAAATATGAAATTAGGAAGTGAAGATTGTTTTTCATTGAAAACATTTTATTTATACATGGTGTCAATACATATTTTTAGAATCTTTGTCAAAAGCGATAAATGTCTTTGGTGTTATTCATCCCATATTTATCATTGGTGATTAGGCGAATTTCGATAGATAGAGATCTAGGGATAAAGCTCTCTCCTCCCAATGAGGCGATCTGGGTTCGAATCCCAGCAATGGCTGGTCGATACGAATTCCGTACCCGAACTGGACCAGTCACTGGGCTGGCGTAAAATATTCTCAGTGGTAAACGGATCATGGGTTAAAGTCTCCTTGCCTTCAAGCTAACCATGGTATGCTTTCGTGGTTTTCTTCTCCATGTAACGCAAATGCGGGTTAGTTCCATCAAAAAGTCCTCCAAGAAGGCCAATTTCTCCCAATACTTGATCCAGGATTTCTTTCTTTTTCTGGATTGGGTTTAAAGTCACAAAACAACTGGAGTTACACATTAGTCGTCGGGAATTAAAAACTAGGTCGGCTGTTGAAAAACGTTTATAAATAAAGTAAAATTTCAATAGAGCTTTTTATTTCTTAGAATTTTATTTGCTTTTGTTCCGACTCCTAATAAGCATACTTTTTATACCTAATATGCATCATTAGGGAACAACTTGTGTTGTATACTTGTGCTGTATCTTATTATTATCACATCTTTTTATACCTAATATGCATCATTAGGGAACAACTTGTGTTGTATACTTGTGCTGTATCTTATTATTATCATACCTTTTTATACATAACATGCATCATTAGGGAACAACTTGTGTTGTATACTTGTGTTGTATCTTATTATTATCACATCTTTTTATACCTAATATGCATCATTAGGGAATAACTTGTGTTGTGTACTTGTGTTGTATCTTATTATTATCACACCTTTTAATACCTAATATGCATCATTATGGAACAACTTGTGTTGTATGCTAGTGTTGTATCTTATAATTATCAGTCAAGCTAAATATTTTTAAATATGTAAGACTGAAGCTGTCTGAAGCTACTACTCACCCTAGTTTAAACGACCCATCATATTTATTAAATAAAACATTATCAACTAATCGATCTCGAAGCAATGAACAATTACTGTAGCATTTACGGATAATATACCATCAGTCGATAATGCTATTATAATTCAACGATTTTTGTCGCATAACCACTTAAAATAAATAAGTAAAAAAGAAATATGAGCTGAATCTAATTTCCATATTAATTAGTGATCAATTAAAAGAATTAAATATCGATAGAATTACTAAATTAACTCAAGGCATTTATAAAATTATTTTTTATTATTAAGTTCTATCCGAATACCCTTGAAACGCTGGTTAATGCCAATTGAATTTTCGAATACTCGTTTTTGTACCGGTTTAATGGTGGCAGAAAATCTTGAGACTGAAACTTTCCCTACGTAGGCAGAGGTTTTTTAAAATATTTTTTTTTAAGGAAAAACACCTCTTATAGTTTTTCTCTGGGAAAAAAGAACCTGCTCTATTTTAGAGTAACAATAATAACAGATACTATGCAATATGAAAACTTTTTTATACAATACTGCATATTATTTGCATTCTACTATTCAAATATTATTTAAAATTCAAGAGTTGATAGAAAGTTTTGAGCAATTTACCATGTAGCATAAAGCTTCTTCTTGATTTCTTTGAAAACCTCACGCTCATTAAATGTTAAAATTTTTTATCCTATTTAATAAAGCATTTAAACGTTTGTATATCACTAAGCAGTTTTAATTACTCATTGGAATTAGAACATTTTTTTAATAAAAATGAAAGCATTTGAACAAAAAAATGCCAGCCAGGACTTAACATTCAATTAATGCTTAACTTTCAACGAAATTGTATTGATTGTATAGGCTGTCACATTTTTTAATAAGTCGGGGGGGAATTGAAAGATTTATCGAGCCCCCGAGATACTGTTTGCAGTATTCCACGAAACATTGTTAGAAAATATAGTTAATCGAAAACTATAGTTTGCTAAAGAAAATTATAATAAGTATAAAACTATAATACGTAAGTTTATAGTTTTAGGTAAGTTTATATAACCATAAACTTACCTAATACCTTTTACTATAAATTAACTAACCCTAAAACTATAATACTATAGACTATTGAATATAAAACAATAACAGAAAAGTATAATAAGTTAAGGGGGAAAATGGAATATTTCCTCTAGACACTGCTTATAGTGTCTCCTGAAAATCTCCAAGATTACGTTGTAAATGGAAAACTTTATTTAAAGTTAGCAAACGAATATTCCAATCTGTATGTTAATTGCGCGCTATTAAGTGAAAACGTGGAAGATTGAACACTGAAATATGTCTACTTTTATCATTTTCTTGAAATTTTTTAAATATTTCTATAAATGTTTAAGATTCTAAATAATA